GGACAAACTGATTAAAGTACAATATATTTACAAGTAAAATACCATGACAGAACCCCTTTGTACAGTGAACATACACTTAGACCATGAAGGACAGGAATGTAAAACAGATTCGGTTAGGGGGAGAATCTTAGTTGGTGGCGGGGAGGGTGAATATGGTGGATGTACTTTATATGTATCTGAAGATGGAACACTGAAACCTATAGAAATCATTTTAGAGGGAGAGTGATGGTGGGAATGAACCTAACCAAAGTACATTGTTAAACATACGTGGAAATGTCACAATGAATCCCCCTATACAACTAATATATGCTAATAAAAATATTAAAAAAAATTTGCTTAGTTTTCCAGTTTGAGATTATCTTACCAAAATAAAACAGAAGGAAAAAAATAATAGCAATTAGTAAATTAGAAAAACAGCAGGAAAGCCAAAGCTTTGTTCTTTGAAAAGATAAAATTAATAAGCATTAGACTTAAGATTATAAAAACTCTTAAGTAACATTTCAGGAATGAAAAGAAGGCCTCATCAATATAAATTTTAATGTCAGTAAATCAGAAGGGCATTGTGAATAAGACATATGCCAATACATGAAAATTAGATAAACAGAATCCTAGAAATATTTGTCAAAATGAACTTTCATAGGAATTAGAATACATGCCTAGAATGTGCAAGGCCCTGGGTTCACCCCAGCACCAAAAAAGAAAGAAATAAAAAAGGGAAACATAAATGTGTTTTAATTACTAAAGACAGTGAATCCATAATAAAAATGTTCTCTGGAGCTGGGTGTAATGGTGCACACATATATGTAGTCCTTATATTTGAGTGAGACTGATGCAGGAGGATCTCAAATTCTAGGGTCACCTGGGCTACATTAGGGAGACCCTGTGTAGGCCAGACTGGCCTCAAAGTTTTGATCCTCCTGTGTCAGCGTGGAGTGCTGTGATCAGAGGTGTGCCACAATACTGAACTCCAGGTGGACTTACAAGTGTGTTTTTCTAAACTGTAAGGAAAGAATACCAAAACTTTTGAAAGTACTTTACCTAATTATGGGAACTTTGAATTTTCATCTCTTGAGATAATACCTGTATTTTAACATAAGAATTCTATAACTGTTGATATTGTTAAGGTTGTTTGCTGTACTGCTTTTTCCCCCCTTCATTATAGCATTTGCCGTACCTAGATCAAGAAAATACGTATTTGGTCATCTTGAGCTTTCAGTCTATTGAAGGAGGCAGATGTCTACAAATAAAATTATAAGTACAGTTTGGGTGAAAAGTGCTACAGTAAATTAGGTATATTTACTGCTTCGGGAGCAGAACAGAGTCATCTGATTGCCTAAAATAGACCAGGAAAGGTTTCCCAGAAGGTGACGCTTGAGCTGAGTCCTGAGAGGAAAGTGTTAATCAGGCAAATGAAGAAGGAACATCTAGGAAGGGTTAACAATATGAATTGTAAAAGTATGAGAAAATGTGTAGTTTGGATGAAAGAGGATGAGAGACAGAAGGTAAAGATTTACTGAGAACCTTTTATACCATGTTAAAGATCAAAAATAGAGGAGGAGTGAAGATGGCAGAGAGAGGTGCCCGGCAGTCAACTGGCCTTTGGCCCTGGGAGGCCAAGTGCATGTGCTGGACTGTGGGAGGAAACTTATCATATAGGAAGAACATTTTCCTGGCCATACGTGCTTTTGTATTCGTCTTAAAACAAAATTCTGAACTCAGGACATGGCAAGAATTTCTATGCTGTCTTCTCAAGTAGTCATCTGTTGTTTTTATTCAGCCACTTTCCCTATTGAAATATGGACATCTTCCTACACATTTCCTCCATGGTTTGAAATTGAAAAGAATGCTTTTCTTTTGTTCCACCTCTCAGATTCAACACAAAAAAAACCCTTAGGATACAGTTGTCCTGCTGACTTCTCCAGGAAGAAAAAGGCAACTGACATGGGTCTTCTGCTACAATTCGATTTATTATAAAGATTTACTTTGCAAGTGGAAGGATGAGGTTTAATTTGAAACAGGTGCTTAGGTCGCAGTATTTGTGAATCCTTTCCCTTTTGTTGCCACAAGAAGACTAAACTAAATAATGAGGATGGATGACTTTTTTTTTTCTTAGTGTCTTCCAGTTTTGACCACTTTTATAATACCTACAGTTCAGACTGTAGCAGTAAATTTGAAATATTCCTTATAATTTGAGATGAAAGAGATGTTAAAAAATGCCTTATTTCTAAATCCTGTCACATGGATTTACTGGACAAGAACAAAGGTCCAATTTTTCAGATAAATTTCGGTGTGAGAAAGAAGCATAAAGACACGATACCGAAGTTGATTTCATACGGAATAAGGCATCACAGTTTCTGTACAGATACATAGTTTTACATGTGCAAATCCATATTTTTGGAGGGATTTGAACTGGAGGGATCTCTAACAGAAGGAAGCAGTTGTTTACTTTTTCAGAAGGCTTTGGACATTTGATATTTTTAGATGTTTTTTATTCTAAGGAAGGGCCAAATTGTGCAGCAGTTAGCCATGTGAATGCATGCTAACATTTCTTTCAAAAGTAGTAATGGAAAACAACACTGACCAGTGGGGTGTGCACAGCACTTAGGAGGTGGAGGCAGGACCATGTGAGTTCAAGGCCAGCCTGGGCTGCGTAGTGAGACCATGTGTTCAAAATAAAAAAAATTATTGCTTTGAACTAAAGAATAAATTTAAAAGAAGAAAGGAAACAGAGTTTTGAGTACAGTGATGGAACCCTATTCACCTTAAGATGAAAGGCTACTGTATTACAACTTTTTTCAGCCTCTTTTGTGGCCTGATGTGAGATTATTTTTCATGTTGCTAAAGCTAGAAGAAAAGTGGCCTATGTGGGTTTTCAGTTCAGATGTAACAGACCCTGTATTATAACCTGCCTTCAAATTTGGATGTAGAGAAGTAGAGGAAATGAAATGAGAAAACTTTCCATGTAAGTCTATTCTGCTAAGAAACAAAAGCAAAAATGTCTTATGTAATGGGAAATTCCATTAAGTAGAGACAGTCTTTTCCATTTTTTTCTTCTTGGTGGTACTGGGGTTTGAACTCAGGGCATCATGCTTGCTAGGCAGGTGCTCTACCACTTGAGTCACTCCACCAGCACTTTTTTTTGTGTTGGATATTTTAGAGATAGGGTCTCAAGAACCATTTGTCTGGGCTGGCTTTGAACCAAGATCCTTCTGATCTCTGCCTCCCAAGTAGCAAGGATTACAGGTGTGAGCCACCGGCATCCAGTTCTTTAATGTCTTGAGAGATGGATATTTGATTTTAACATGGGAAGAGAAGGAAATTGGTTTTACTAACTTTATATGTAAAATACCTGCAATGACATTCTTTTTTATCTTCCTTCATTACATATTCCAAGTTTGGCTAGTAATCAGCAATACTTTTCTAAAGCCAAAAATACTTTTTTCATTTGCTTTGTCATTTTTATTGTCCTCATATTTGTTAACATCATATATAGGGCTTGAAATTTTGGGAGTTGAGGTTTATCTTTTGGAACATAGTTTATACCAAAAATTAGGAAATTAATTATTAAAGCTCATTTCTCAAATAATAATGTGAACAAAACGTTTCTGGAGATTTTTTTTATGAACAAGGTATTATAATGACTTTCATATCTCAACTAGGAACAATTCTGAGTGAGATGTTTTAAGTTCAATAGAAGCAGAAGGTATCATTTATGTAATCACCGGTGGAAAGTTATACTTAAAATATGTCTGAAAAACATAATGAATTGTATCTGTAAATCTGTTTTTTTGTCTTAATAGCTAAGGTCAAGAGATTTACTGTATGTAATTTAAGGGTATTACTTGTATTTTTGTAAAATTATTTATGGAAAGTATTTAAATTTAGTGAATTTTATCCAAAATAGTATCTTGCTGACTTTGCCAGCAGTTCCCATCTCATTTTACCTTTGTGGAGCAAATGTGTATTTGTAGGATCAATTTGGGAGATTTTTTCAAGCTGAGATACTAGGGTAAATCAAATACATGTTTCTTAAAAAATACTTATCCTATAAAACATGATCTCTTCATCATGTTTAGTTCATTTTTTTGGTCTGAATTCTTGATGTGTTACTCCTGCAAAATTGGCAATTCCTGAAAATTAGTACACATAAATATTCTGTAATTTTATTTTCAGTTATTGCTGTTGGTTTGCTTTTTTTATAATTGAGATTTTTAGGTTATAAGTGTTGCTTGGGGTATCATTTTGAAATTAAGTTATTCTTTTTTCAACTACAGGGTGTTGTCCAAAATCCATAGCATATCTTTCAAGTCTTTATCTTTTTGCTTGTCTTTCTGATTTCAGTATTTACTACATTCTATAAACTGTTCTTATATTTGTATGTGATTTTTCTTTTTTTAAAGCCTGGGAGTCTAGTTAGTGTTGCATTTGTTTACCTGCACATTTGTGACTCAAGACATTTCTAACTTAAGACTCTGAAATAGTCTTAAAGACTTATTTCAGTGTTGGCTACCCTGTATTAGCCCTGAACCTGCTAAATTAGGAGTTCTGTTTTATATTCCATTGTCATGCTTTTCTTCCTTGTAGTCTAATGAATAATACTTATTTAATTTCACATTGGTCTCTAAAGGAATTCTGAACGTTTGAGGATTAGGATTGGGTCCTAATGCTTTTTGTCTCCAAGGATAAGTAGATATTTAAATTGTTTGCTAAAAGAACAAAGAATGATGTGATAATTTATCTTCAAAAGGAATCTGAAGTCTGGGAAATATCTTAAAGATAGAACTAATATCCTGTTTTTTGGGGGTGGGTAGGTGTGTAGGGTACTTAGAAATCATGGTTTTCTCTGACTTTGAATTTGTCATATAAGCAGTATTATTTTGCAGTTATGTTATTTTTGCTTAAATTTTGTCAGTGAAATTTTGAAAGGAGCTGAAATCACTTTAAAGTTAAATTTCTTATGTTGTTATACCTTCTAATTTATTTTATTTTTTTAATTTTAGGAAACACTCCTTTACATCTTGCTGTGATGTTAGGAAATAAAGGTTAGTAAATATTTTCTTTTTTATGTTTAACTTCGTTCATGTATAGTCAGTTTAAAAAATTTAAGATGAGTTTTAGCATTTGAGTTCTTAAAAAATTAACTTGATTATCTTACTTGTAATTGAGATTAAGATTTAGTATATTAAAATTAATAAAGTGTTCTCAGGGCTTCATACTTGCAAAGCAGATGCTCTACTACTTGAAACCACTTCCAGTCTAAATTTTTGTTTTTAAATACCACGTTAATAAAACTTAAACAGTTTTCTTTATTGTGGAACTCATAATTTTGATATGCTAATATGCAGTATAAAGTTCAAGTTGCAGCAAGTATTGGGCATAGTGGTTAGTGTTTCCCATAGTTACTTGGTTTTTGCTGATTTTTATAACATCTTGAGAGACTGTTGTTCTGTGGCATGTATTAGGAAACACTTGAATAGATGATTCAGGATCTGCAAATAATGTTGGTATTCTTCTTGTGTCTTTTCCATAAAGAGTAAGTACAATACATAACATTGATCCAATTGTATTTTTCCAGTTATGAACTCTCTCACTTTTTCTTTGTGGGATTTTTATAATTTTGATATTTGATTGTTCAAAAGTGAGATTGGAATGTATGTATAGTGGAAGATTAAACAGCTTCCTTATATTTAGTTCTGCAGTTTGCTTTTGTATTACATCACTGTTCAGCCTATGACACTTGGTTCTCTTTTCTTTTGAGATACCACTTTAGTAATTTCATTATTGAGGGTCACTTTCTGTTTGTATACTTGTTTGTAAACAAAGTAAATATTTCCTGGGGCATTCAAATAATACTTATTGATAGAGGAAAAGAGAGATGTGGACACTTTAAGACTTCCACACTTTGATTTACTTCCTTTCTCCAATTTTTTATTTTCTTCCTTTTAACCAATGTTAAAATAAGTTTTTTTACCTCCAAAATGTGATTTTATTGCTCTTCCCTTGGGTCCATGGACTACAGTTGGCCATGTTGCCTGGGAGGTTTCTGAACCATGGATTTGGATAGAAATGAATTTTATTGCACTGATCTTTAATTCTAAATTTTTTGGTTGGAAACAAATTTCTGGGTCCATTGACTGAAGTTGGCTGTAGTGGCTGGTTTGAACCATGGATTTGGTAGAAATGAAAAACAATACACTTAATGAAGTAAGGTGTCAGAGATATTTAGGAGATTAAATTGAAAATGAGTTTTTAATTATCATCCTTTCGGTTAGAAATGTCACAGAAAGTTTCTTTCTTTTAACAGTTCTTGAATTTAATTTTAATTTTTTTACATTTTAAATTGTGTTGGGATACATTGTAGCATTTACAGAAAGTTTCTCTAGTTGCTACAACCTTCAATTCATTTTTAGTCTTTTGTGGATCTGCAATTCTTAATTTTTTTCCTTGAAATAAGTCTAGAATTAATATGTTTTCTTACTCTTATATGGCTTTCTCTGGATTCTGTTACATTCCCAATTATCCTGTTTATCCCATTTACCCTTACATTTCATGACCTTTACTTCTCTTATTTATGTGTTGTCTATTCCTCATAATTTCAGTTTGTTTGTACTCAAGTCCTACTTTGATTAATGATTAAGCATTAGTGCCCAGTTGTTTTCTTATTATTCATTGTTAACGTTACTGCATTACTGAGAAAAAACCTTTGATCAAGTTTTTTATTCTTTTTTTTTGGTGGTACTTGGGTTTGAATTTGGGCAGACACTCTACCACTTGAGCAGTGCCTGAGATGCCTTAGCCCCAGTTTTTGTTATTTTTAATGTGTAAGTATATGTCATAGATAATTGGCATATCTATGATTATCTGATTTTTTTTTTTAGTTGTTCATCTCTACTTTAGTTGAGTTGTGGCTGTCCTGTAAGGTCTGTGTCATATCAGAAAGCATAGTTAAAATGTCTAGCATAATAAATAAATCTTGTACTCGTCTTTGAACCTTAGTTTATACAGCTGGAATACTGCTTTAGGTACTGTTACACATACTGCTTTTTACTATTTTAAGTATTTTTCACTAATTTTTTTGGTTATTAGCACACATACATGGAAATAATACTGTATAGTGCTATATAAGAGCATCATCTCACCACTTCTTTTTTTGGTGAAATGAACATTTATAGATTGGGGGATGTCCTTTTACCTTTTACTCCTTTGTTATCCATAACAAAGGGCTTTAGTTTGTATTTAATGAAGTAGAAATACTATATGTAGTACTTTGCCACATTTTCTTCTAAAATCTATAATGAAATTTCTCTTGAAGTTTAGATATCTTCCATGTTTGTATTCTGTGTACAAATGTGTTTACACCAAGGAGGGCTCATTTATTTTTACTCTTTTTAGGTTGGCTTTCAACCATTCTTTCTTACTATCTCCTCTCAGTAAACATAAAATCCATGTTAAAATTTATTGGATATTCCATTTTTGTCATGCTTATTATTGTATATAAATATGTGCATATGTGTCTGAGCACACATTCTTGTGTATATAAATTTTTAGTTAATTCTTTTTTAAAAATGGGATCATGATAAACTTTTGCATTTAGTAAATGCATTGTATCATTTAGCAATACATTGTGAAAATTCCTTTAAGCCTGTTGATATAATTCTAAATGATTGCTTTTTATTTTTTAAAAAACATTTTTGTAACTTTTTGTCTTTCAATATTTTATTATGAAAAAATTGAAAGATTATTACAGTGAACAAGCAAATACCCTTCACATGGGCTCAATAATTGTCAACATTATATCATTTTTGCTTTATCTTTCTATCTTTGTGTTTTTAATATATTATTTTTTGCTGTTCTATTTGAAAAGTGAGACATCATGATATTTAACCCCTATATACTTCTGCACGTAGGAGTAAGGATACTTTCCTTTATCACCTCAGGCTTTTGTCACTGTGACCAAATACTTGAGAGAAACAATTTAAAGGAGGAAGGATTTATTTGGCTCACAATTTCAGAGGTATCAGTCAGCCCATAGTCCTTGGCTCTATTTGATTCTGGGCTGTAGTGGTGAGACAGAATATCATCATGTATGTGGCCGAGGCTCTTCACCTCAGGCAGACAGGAAGGAGAGAGAGAAGAGAGAGAGAGGGAAGGAGAAGGAAAGAGAGAGAAAGAGAGAGAGAGAGAGAGACAAGGGACCAAGTATTACCTTCAAAGCATGGCACCCTTTCCTACTTCCTTTAGTTAGGCCCCACCTCCTAAAGTGTCCACTACCTTCTGAAGTAGTGCCACCCTGGTGATCAAATGTTCAACGCATGAGCCTGTGGAAGACATTCATACTCAAACCATGCATAACCACATTGTCATTATCACACCAAGGGAATAAGAAATGCAGATATTGTCCTTTATAACCACATTATCATTGTCTTATCAAATAAATTTAATAGTATTGTTATAATATCTCATAACCAGTGCATATTCAAAGTACTCTTAATTGTTCCATGCATATATTTTACAGATGTTCTAAGTGAAACAAGACCCAATTGAAATTCACTCATTGCATTTAATTGTTATGTCTCTTTTGTAATCTGGAGCAGTTTGCCCACTATTTTTACCCCTTTTTGTGCCTAACTTTTGGAAAGTCTTACCCAGTTGACTTGTACAGTGGTCACTATCTTGGATTTGCCTGATTATTTTCTCATGATTTATTTAACTTGTCCCTGTCTTTTCTGTAAATTGAAAATTAGCTATAGGTGCTTGTTTAGATTAGGGTTAAATATTTCAAGAAAGAATACTGTACAGGTGATGTTATCAATTATATATATTGTATCACATTAAGAAGCATAATATTAGGTTATTCCACTGTTAATGCTGCTAAGTTTGATTACTTGTTTGGTGATGATCTCCAGATATATCCACTGTAAGCAAACATTTTTCTATAATTAGTAAATAATCTTGGGGTGATACTTGGTATCATGTGAAAATCCTCTTTTGCAGCACTTTTTTTTTGGTGCTACTAGGATTTGAACTCAGGGCCTTGTGCTTGCTGTATCACTTGAACTATATCCTCAGCCCTCTGTATTTATTTACTTATTTATTATTGCAGTACTGGGATTTGAACTCAGGACTTTATACTTGCTAGACAGGTGCTCTACCACTTGACCCACCCCACCAACTCTTTTTTGTGTTGGCTATTTTTGATATAGGGTCTCACAAACTATTTCCCCAGGCTGCCTTCAAACCATGATCCTCCTGATCGCCACCTTCCGAGTAGCTAGGATTATAGACGTGAGCCACTGATGTGTGACACCTCTGTCCTTTTGATATAACTCTTATTTTTTTAAAGTGGCTGTGTGTTGCTCTAGTAATATAGGTACAATAAGTGCCTCTTAGTACCTTATGATTGCCATTCACTTTTTCAGTATTTTCACCACTATAAACAGCAATAAAATAATAATTTTATTTTATTATATTTTATTATAACAACACTCATTATCTTATATTGTTTTTTTCATCATTTTATTCAATGTCTTCCAGTAAAGCATATCAGCTGATAGCAAGAGCATATCCTCCTCCTTTTATATTTATTACCTGATGGCATGTAGTGGCTGGCTATGCAGCTCAGTGTGCCTAGCATGCACAAGGTCCTGAGAAAAGGCATATAGTAGGCACTTGGTAAATAGTTAATGATTGAGTGAATGTATGAGTGTATGGCTGTACTACATTTTTTTTTGCTTGCTAATGTACTTTTCAAGAAACGACATTTTATTGTTATTTTTTCCCATTGTTTTTGTTTTTTTTTCTCTTTATTCATATATTCATATGTACATACATTGTTAGGGTCATTTCTCCCTCTTGCCCCCCACCCCCTCCCTGTCCCTCCCACCTCCCTCGCTTCCAGGCAGAACCTGTTCTGCCCTTTTCTTCAATTTTGTTGAAGAGAAGACATAAGCAATAATAAGAAAGACAAAGCGTTTTTGCTAGTTGAGATAAGGATAGCTATACAAAGAGATTCCTAACATTACTTCCATGCACAAGTGTATTACAACCCGAATTGATTCATTTCTACCTGACCGCTTCCTGGTCACCTTGCCATATTGACCTCTGTTGCTTTAAGGTTACTGTATTAGTTCCTCTGCAGTGAGGACATCAAACACTTTCAATTTTTGGGTTTCCTACCTATTCTTATTCCTCCCGTATGTGCTCTCCCTTAGTGTGTGACCTTAGTTCAACAACATTACTGCCTTTGCCCTAGATCTAAAGTCCAAATACGAGGGAGAACATAGTATTTTTGGTCTTCTGAGCCTGGCTAACCTCGCTCAGGGTGACGTTCTTGAGTTCCATCCATTTACTTGCGAATGATGAGATTTCATTCTTCTTCATGGCTGAGTAAAATTCCATTGTGTATGAATACCACATTTTCTTAATCCATTCGTCAGTAGTGGGGCATCTTGGCTGTTTCTATAACTTGGCTATTGTGAATAGCGCTGCAATAAACCTGGGTGTGCGGGTGCCTCTGAAGTAACCTGAGTTGCATTCCTTTGGGTATATCCCCAGGAGTGGGATTGCTGAATCATATGGCAGATCTATGTTTAGATTTTTAAGAAGCCTCCACGTTATTTTCTGGAGTGGTTGCACTAGCTTACATTCCCACCAGCAGTGTGCGAGGGTTCCTTTTTCCCCACATTCTCACCAACACACCTGTTGTTGGTGGTATTTTTGATATAGCTATTCTAACGGGTGAGGTAGAATCTTTGTGTGGTTTTGGTTTGCATTTCCTTTATGGCCAGAGATGAAGACCATTTTTTCATGTGTTTTTTGGCCATTTGAATTTCTTCTTTTGAAAAAGTTCTGTTTAGTTCAGTTGCCCATTTCTTTATTGGTTCATTGATTTTGGGAAAGTTTAGTGTTTTGAGCTCCCTGTATATTCTGGTTATCAGTCCTTTGTCTGATGTAAATATTTTCTCCCACTCTGTGGGTGGTCTCTTCAGTTTAGAGACCATTTCTTTTGTTGTGCAGAAGCTTTTTAATTTTATGAAGTCTCATTTGTCCATCCTTTCTTTTAGTTGCTGACCTGCTGGGGTTCTATTGAGGAAGTCCTTGCCTATAGCTATTGCTTCTAGAGTATTCCCTGCTCTTTCCTGTACTAACTTCAGAGTTTCAGGTCTGATACTTAGGTCCTTGATCCATTTTGAGTTGATACTAGTACAGGGTGATAAACATGGATCTAGTTTTAGTTTTTTACAGGCAGATAACCACTTTTCCCAGTAACATTTGTTGAAGAGGCTGTCTTTTCTCCATTGTTATGTCTTTGGTGCCTTTGTCAAAAATAAGGTGGGTATAGCTGTGTGATTTCGTATTCTGTTCCACTGGTCTTCATATCTGTTTTTGTGCCAGTACCATGCTGTTTTTATTGCTATTGCTTTGTAATATAGTTTGAAGTTGGGTATTGTGATACCTCCATTATTGCTCTTTTTCCTGAGTATTGCCTTGGGTATTTGCAGTCTCTTGTGTTTCCAAATGAACTTTAAGGTAGATTTTTAATTCTCTGTGATGAATGTCAATTTATTGTTAATTTTTAAAAAAGGTTTTTCTCAACCATCCTAAACTTAGACTACCCTCCTCCTCCCCAGCAGTACTGGGGATTGAACTCAGGAACTTGTGCTTGCTGAGCAAGTGCGCCACCACTCGCCCCATACCTCGGAAAACTGTCCACATTTGTCCTTACAGTCATAAACAGAGTTTTGATTTTTTTGGTGGTGTTTTTCTAAATTAAAAGACCGAGAAAATTTGAAAAATAAGGGTGTGTGGAAATATTACAGCTCCTTTTTTGGAAACTTATCTTTTTCTGAGATAAATAAACAGTTTCCGTTTGACATTACAGGTATACAAATCCTCTTTTGGTTCTTATTGGATAGTGGATAGTTGCATGTAAATTGCTCTTGTAAAAGGCTGTCTTTAGGAGTATGAAAACATTCTTAAAATTTTGGAGACAATTAGTATGGAACATAATACTTTATTTGCAAAGAGAATTTAATTTAATTGTTAGTAGAATGGATGCTTTTGAATCGGGGATCTGATATAACCTAGTTTAGAGAACTAGGAATTTATAAATTATACATAGGACATATTTCACATGTATGTTATTTTGGATAGTAAACTTTTACATAACATTCATATTTAGAGATTGTAAAAATTGATGTTGTTTGATAATATTACCATTTTATTTTGCAGAATGTGCCCATTTACTTTTGGCTCATAATGCCCCAGTAAAGGTGAAGAATGCTCAGGGATGGAGCCCTCTGGCGGAAGCCATCAGCTATGGAGACAGACAGATGAGTAAGCAGCATGAATTACTGTTGTTGTTAAATACTCTGAAAATACAGAGTGAGGTATTTGAAGTACTTTTGTTTAGTACAGATTTCCATACTGTGAATGTTTTTAGTTGTCTATAAACATATACGAATTGTTCATGACTTAAGAACTTGAACATTGAGCAGTACAAAAGAAATTGAAGAATCATGTTTAAAAGTATGTTACTTTTTTCCTCCTTCTTGCAGCATTCTACTTTAGTGATATAAGGACATTTTTAAAGTTGAAAACTGCTTGTCCTGTCTGGCAAAATGCTTAATTATTTGGATTATCAATTCGGAGTTAAAAATAGTCATTGTGTTATATTAATTATCTACTTTACTTGCTAGGTATAGGTTTTGCTGGAAGCTATGAACAAGAGTATTTTAGTTTAGTCTTTGAATGTGTACTTTCAAAATATGGCAGATACTATTTTACATTATATAGCATGTTCAATTATTCTACTCCCTTCCTACTACCTATAAGTTTTTTTCAACTTTTATACAGTTCTTATTTTTGTCAAGTACCTCTGTTGGTTGAAAAGCTTACAAAATTTGGTGGAGTGGCTCAAGTGGTAGAACACCTGCCTAGCAAGTGTGAGGCCCTGAGTTCAAACCCCAGTACCAGAAAAAAAAAAAAAAAAAGCAACCCAAGAAAAGCTTACAAAATTTGAATGTGGATGAATGAGAATATTATCTTTCTGGTAATATCCTTTTGTAGTTCCAAGCTGAAATGATCAACTAATGTTGCTTTGTGGAAGAGAATAAAAGATGTTGGCAGTTGCATTAAAGCAATGCATAAGTTGAACATTCTCAGGATGTGAATGGATGCACTCTTACTTTAATGCTAAGTTTTGAGCTCTTCTGGATACTTTCCTACTTTTCTACTTGCAATCCACATATTGTGTATTTGTGGATTTCCTGAATTCCTTGGACAACTTTTAATGTTGAAGTTGTATTTGAGCCTAATTTTTAATGCTAGATAAAATTGTGATATTTTAACAACCCAAATGAGAATATGTATTTTTTGTTGCACATTGACAGATATCTTTTCTATACAAGCATGAGGATATCATTACTAAAGTTAAGGAACAGTACTAATCCTAGAATTATTTCAAGGAAAAGATAAAAATGTACAAGTCCAAAAGAGACTGAAGAGAATAAAGATGCAGCAATTGGTCTGAAGAAACCTTCTCTGATTTTTGGTAACCAGTTAGCAGACTGGAGGGAAGACTAAATGGGCTCCTGGGTTTCTAACCCATAGTGAGGCTTTTGTGCCTTATAAGGATTTTTTTATTCACAACAAAAGAATGTATAAAGTGTATATGTATATTAAAATGTGGAGAATAATGACATGATCTTTGCTGTTTTAGTAACAGAATACTTAGCAATAATTTTGAAGGTAAAAAATTGAGGCCTAGATGGGTTACGGTGTGGTCTTAAAGTAATTTTCTTTGGCAGGTGGCTCAAGCAGTAGAGTACCTGCCTAGCAAGTGTGAAGCCCTGAGTTCAAACTCCAGTCCTGCCAAAAAATAAAAAAAAAAAGTGATTTTCTTATACTGACTGATATATTATGTACCCATTTTAAATAGTATCCTGTTGTCAATCATTATATAATTATGTGTATAATTATTCAGTGTTTATATTTTCATTACATCTCATCGCATGAAAAAATACATAATTCCTAGTCAAGTGTGGTAGTGCAGGCTTGTCATCCTGGAAAGTAAGGCAAGAGATTGGGAGTTCAAGGCCAACCTGAGCTACATAATGAAATACTATCTGAAACATAGAAAAATTAACTCCTAACTTGAATTCACTGAGACAGTTATGATACATATTTGAAAATGTTAATGTGAAGTAGCTTTATTTATTTGTTTATTTATTGCATTACTGGGGTTTGAATTCAGCCCCCACACCTTGAGCCTCTTTTCCAGTCTTTTTTTGTGAAGGGTTTTTTTCGAGATAGGGTCTCATGAGCTAGAAGCCAGGCTTCTAACCATATTAAGTAGGATAAGTCTTTGATTATTTAGCTGTGCTATATTAAAGTTTTATTGGTATAGACAATTACATTCTTTTGAAACATCAGAGATAATCTAAAATTATTAGTGAAAAGCTTTGTTACTTGTTTAATTTTTGATAATTTTGCTAAACTACTTGTCAGATAATTTAGAATCATTTCACTTTACAATTAATTAAATTTTATGATTATATTGGTTTTTGGATTTTGTGGTTACCTGGTAAAGTATTGGGCCCAAGTCAGTAATCAGGGAAAGAAATGAATATAACTTAAAAGTCTTTTTTTTTTTTTTTTAATTTACCTTTCCCACAGTCCCCAGGTTTCCTCTGATGTAAATAGCTCTTGGGGACCTAGTTATCTTTTGTCTCTAGGGGTTGCTCATGGTTTGTATAGGTAAATGTTATGATATGTTTAGGTTTTGGTAGTTTTGAGATTTCTTTTGGATTCTTATTTTTGTGACGCATCAAACTTTAGTGTGGAGTCTGTGTTGGTTTACTGTCTTTTCTTGAACTGGCAAGTCGTCTTCATTTAGGTTTCAACTTTGTTTCCTTTTCATTACTTATTTATTTTCTCTTCTATTTATTTTACTTTAACTTTATATTTCTTTCTGAGGGAAGGCTTTCTTCAACTTCTGAATTTATATTTCTTTCTGAGGGAAGGCTTTCTTCAACTTCTGAAGGTAGATTCAGTTCTCCTTGTCTCACATTTTCAAAGTGCTCCAGTCATTTCTTTTGTAGTTTCAGCAAATTTGTAATTAATTATTCAGCATCTGTTCCCTATTCTGTGTGTTGATGATGTAAACTTTTATAAGCTTTGTTAAGAACTTAAGTCATGTATATGTTTTCTTCACTTTTAAAAATCTGTCAACGTATTTGTTCAGTGGACTCATCAAAAAATGAGAGCATTTGAGACTACTCCTTAAGATTGTTTTTCTACTAATCAGTTATTTTCTTAGTTTATTATTAGGCCTTTTCCCCCACTTGGTACTAGGGCTTTGTGCTTGCGAGGCAGGTGCTGTATAGCTTGTACCACACCTCTAGCCTTTCTTGCTCTGGTTATTTTGGAAATAGGATCTGTTTTTTTTTCCCAGGCCAGCTTCCCACTGTTGTTGGAATGACAGACACACGCCACCATGGACAGCTTTTTTCCATTGAGATAGTGTCTCACCAACTTTTTGCTGGGATGGCCTTGGACTGCAGTTCTCCTTATCTTATTCTCCCAAGTAGCTAGGATTATGGATATGGGCCACCAGTGTCCAGGTAGTATTAGGACTTTTATTTATCCCAACTTTCCTTTTCTGAACTTCATAACTTTTTTTTTCTTACAAGAAAACAACAACTCATTGTTAGGAAATTATGGGAAAAAGACAATCACACAAAGATAACCACTGTTAATTTTCTTATATTTTAGTTCTTTTCTTGATCAGAATACTTTCCTGTTTTAAAGTCTTTAAAACTTTTTGTTCCTAGGATGAAGACCAAAACTTCTAACTTGACTTATAAGATCTAGCATGATAGTGTCACTTTCTCTTTCCTATCCTCACCTTGTTCTTTTCACCTGGTTTTCTGTGTGTCAGCTCTGCTGCCTTTTCAGTTTCTCATACTAATCATACTTTTATTGTATAGCCTCCCTTTCTTTCCCAGCTCCTTGTAGTTCTTTAGATCTCAGCTCAAGTACAAGGAAACCTTCTTTGCCTATATAGTGACAGAAATTTGCCTGATACTCCTGTTATTCAGAAAACTTCATTGGTGCAGGAGTTTGTGTTTTAAGTACCTACGTATGTGTCAGAAATATTGCAAGATTTGTCATTAGAATTGACATTGAAGAACTCTTCCTGCTTGGACTGTAGAGACCATTGAATTTATTGCAATGTTCTGAAATGTTTACAAAATACCAGGGGGAAACAGATCAGGAGAAAAGTAATTTAGGTTTCGGCAAGGTATTTGGTTGTTTGAGCTTTGTCTTAAAGGATTTTAGGAGTTAATAAGATGAATAAAGACATTTTAGTGTGCCAGAGTAGAATGTGTATGAAGCATAGAAGTGTGAAAAGAACCAGGCATATTTTAGGGGACAGTGTGTTTTTCACTGTGGCTGAAGATATACAGCAAACATGGGTGAAAGGGTAATGACAAGTGTTGAGAGATGAAGTTGTAATGGTAAAGGGACCATACTGAGATCATCATTAGGTAATATTTAAGGTTTTAAGTTCCTTCTCCAGTTACTGCAGAACCCCCAGAAGACTTCAAAGCAGGGATTGACATTGGATAAGCAAAAAGATACTTTAATTAATAGAGTCAGGGAGGCCAAAGATTTCCTGAAAAACCTCTTGAAACAAATGAGATAAGCTTGACTTAAGGATAGTGTGTTTAAAGAAGTAAAGGGTAAAAACAGACAAAAAAGAAAGAAAAGAAGTAAGGGGTAGATTTGAAAGATAATTAAGTGAAAGAATCAACAGAAGTTGATTATCTTATGTTTGAGTAGTGATAGAAGGATTCAAGGTTACTCCAGTGTCTCCATATAGAATGATGGTAATCTCATCAGTTAATGTACAGAATATAGGAGAGATAGCAGTGTGGAATTTACTTAAGTTATGTTTTGTTGGTTGAGTTTAAGTTATCTATGATATGTGTCTCATTAGGAAGTAGAAAATAGACTGGAACTTAGAAGTAAGTAGAGGGCAGAAGATGATAGATTTAAATAATACTTAGCACAATAGGGAATTAGGTCTAAAAGTTTTAGGCCTAAAAACTGAAAACTCAGTGGGAGGAGGAAAGAGAAAAGTAAAATAGTTGTGGTTTATAGAAATTCTGTGTGTGAATTTTATCTAATAATATCTAAATCTTCTGAAACTTTTTATCTTTTTATTAATCTGCTAGTATTTCCTATAGTATAGTAGATACTGTGCAGTGTAATTGTTTTCTAAATGTTTCCTTAATAAAGTGTGAGTTGATGCTGTTTTCACATGTTTAGATTCAGAACAGTGAATCTCTGCGTATATTACTATGCTATATATAGTTGTTGCCATTACCTTTTTAATAATGTTTGCTTATTACTATATAATTTTCTGTTATTTACTGAATGCCTTTATTGCTTCTTGGCCTTTTGACTAAGATTAAAAGGGTACTGAATAACTAAAGGTATAATTGTATTTAATTGATGAATTTATGTTAGGTTGATGAAAAATATCTGCCTTTTGCTGTGTGTGTGTGTGTGTGTGTGTGTGTGACTGAGGTTTGAACTCAAGGCCTCGTGCTTGCTAGGCAGGCACTCTACTACCAGAACTGAGAGACCTTTTATGCCTAGGAATTGGATTCTTCGATTCTTTTTAGCCAACAGAGATCCTGAAAATTTCAATTTGAAGGCAAGGTAGATTGCATAAATATTTATTATGGGATTTGAGCTTACAATGGAAAAGAACTACCATAAAAAGAATTTTACTACAAAATTTGAGTAATACAGCTTTGATATCAAAGTTAAAATTATAACAAACAAGAATATTAGATGCATACAAATTTGAATCTGTGAAGAATTATCTTGGTCACTGTTTCTTGTACTTTCTTCATTTCATAGACCAGAAAATTGTTTAATTTGGGGATTGATATAGGAAGATAACTTTCTAACCTGGGAGAACTTTTTTCAAAACAATATGTTTATCCTTACTGATAATTAAAAACTACTAAAAGCTAGTATGAATATGTTACAGGTTAGTGTTAGGATATATCCTCTCACTGTTTTCTTGTAGATCATACCAATTTTACTAAACCTGTTTATTAATTTATTCTCTCTCTATATTTGTATATATGTATTTATGTTCCATGTTTCCTAATTTCTGTGTCACAGCTTCTTTTAAGTACTCTGAGAGACTTTGAGTTATTTAAACATTAGTTGACAAATGAAAACAAACCAAATTTAGGAAAATTAAGGAATTTTGCAAGTTTACATATAACTTAGTAGTAAAGCTGGAGTTTGAACTTTGGCAATGTGTGTGTTAACTCTTTAACAGATGAGAAATTAGTGTGGAGAGTTTCATGTTTTCTTATATTTAGTTCTTAGAGATATGATGGGATTCATTCTTTTTTTTATAAATAATACGTTGTTGGTATGTGAGGGTACAAACTCCATTGGGAAGAAAACAGATTCACCTAGTAACAACTTCAGGTAGTTACATGTTTGTAGAAAGGAGGTATCCAGTGAGACTCTTGACATACTCTTTTTGAGCTCTTTCTTGAGATTAATGTTATAATTGGATGTTGTATCATCTAACTGAGATTGATAAGTCTTGGCAAAGCAGGCAAGTTCTTACTCATAATTAAAAACCAGGAAAAGCTACTCTCAATATGTTACAGGTTGATGTAGAAGAGATAGGGATATCTCTTCTGTTTTTTTTTTTTTTTTTTTTTTTTGGTGGGGGTCGTACCAGTTTACTAAACTCGTTTAGTGTGTATAATGTATGCATGTGTGTATACATATATGTCCTATGTTTCCTGATTTCTAGGTATGAGTTTCTTTTACTACTACAAGAGACCTTCAGTTACCTAAACATTGCTGTTTGAGTTTTAGATTTTTAAAATATATTGTAATCATCGCTGTACATTCAAACACACACATAAACACACTCACTCACATATATTGTCTTTTTATATGTATAATAAACTAATGTGATTGTCTAGTATGGTACAGAAATCACTAAATTAGGGCTAGGGATGTGCTTAGTGATAGTGCCCTTGTCTAGAATGCATGAGGCCCTGATTCTGGATAAAAATTGCTGAAAAATTACTAAATTGATTATAATTTTCATTTAAACTTTAGTTACAGCTCTTTTAAGGAAGCTCAAGCAGCAATCCAGGGAAAGTGTTGAAGAAAAACGACCTCGATTATTAAAAGCTCTAAAAGAGGTAGGCTGTATTTATTTGCCAATTTTGTACTTTAAGAGTAATTATAAGTGTAGTTTAAGGCATTTTTTAATAGTTTAATTCTCACTGTTTATTAAGGATCAATAAATGCTAAAAATCATTTTTAAGTTAAGCAACAATTGAAATAACAAAATACTCTGATTATAATACCTAAATGTAGTCTTAGTAAAAGCACTCATTTTCTTTGAACCAGGAAGATAAAGATTTATTACTTTTAGCAAATTAGATAAGTGCTCTAAGAAAAGAAGGGTGAGACTGTAAGTCATAATTAATGGCAATAATTTTCCTTGTTCTTTGGATTGAAAGAATCTCTTAATAACTGAAGTTGCTGCTCCTAAAGGGAGCAATTTACATTATCTTTATATAACAAAAATTCTTTGTCCTGTCTCATAGTGGTAAGAACTGGATAAGAGAAGTTTGTTTTCTATTGTTACCTCTTCCTCTGGTTTTTTTTTTTTTTTTTTTGGTGTGGGGGGGCAGTATTGAGCTTTGAATACTCTGTATTTTTGTTGCTTGAAAACTATGAGAGAAACACAGACCTATCATGATGATATGGTGTTAGCTTGTCTTTTCTTAGAGTGCTATTTTTACATCTGAAGAAATAAAGAAAGAGATAAAAGTGTTTTATACAGGTTGCAATAGTATATACTATTAACACTCACTTTTTTCATTGTTTAAAATAAGAAAGACGTAACTTGTTGGTGTTACATTGGTAATGTTTTACTTATTGAAAAATGTAAAATATTTTTGAAAATGTTTGATATAATAGAATGCTTAGTAGTTACAGTGTCTTTGGTGTGTAGCTTTTAATTTGTGAAATAAGAATTTTCTTCATGGAGATTATATGATGATATATTTCAGATTTAGTAAATTTGTTATCACTTCATAGAAAAACTTTTTCTTGCAGTGGGCCAATTTTTAAACCATTACAAGGCAATACAAATGATTATTTAGGTAGTCATTTTAAAAATCATTTCTAAAGTTAATTTTAAAGATAATGTCTATTGTTACTTTGGTTATGCTGAGAAATGGAGTTTATTGATTGAAATTTAAATACCTCTCAGTTTCAAATACATTCCTACATGATTAAAATATCCTTGTAAGATCTGTAGTGGCACATATTTTCTTTTATATTTAAGTATAATAATGTGTGCTATTATAATGCTTTAAGTCATAACCATATTTTGATATTGTTCTTTTTAGTAGGAGTTCAAACATTATTTTTCTTATTTCTGTTCTTATCTGTAGACTGTTAATGATGTCTGTTAGGGTTTTTCAAAGTAAAATATTAAGCAGGAATAAGAACTGTTAGGTACATTCAGTAATTTTTTGTATTTCATTTCTCAGCTAGGTGACTTTTATCTAGAACTTCACTGGGATTTTCAAAGCTGGGGTAAGAGTACTATATTTTACTATCAAATACATCTTATGCTGAGATGCATAAGATGCATATTATATAGAAGTATTAGGGGAACAAATTTGATACTTGTTCTAAAGAAAATTTGTTGTTGTTGTTGCTGAGACAGGGTCTCGCTATATAGTTGAGGCTGGCCTTTCTCTGTGTAGCCTAGGCTGGCCTTGAACTGGTGATCCTCTTGCCTCATCTTCTCTAGTGCTGGATTATAAGCAAGTACCATTACACTTGGCAGAAAATTATTTTTCATGATGTTAAACATAATGTTATAGAGCCCTATAGAAATACTTCATTATCCCAGCTTGATCAGCAGCTTTCATAATTCTTGTTTTTAAGGTTGAAAACTACTTAAAAATTATAGAAATTTAATGTAAAGAATTTTCAGAAAACAATAATGGGAGTAGTAGACTACTTTAAGGAAGTTTGAATATAGTACTTAGATCCCTGAATGTGAAGAATTTGATTCATATTATTTGATTTGTGTTTATTTTGTCAGCTTTTAATCATTTTACCACTCCCATCCCTTATAGCCATTGTCTTAACAGATTATTTGGTTTTACACTGTTCTAATTATTTTTGAAAGACCTTAATTTTGACCTACATATTTTGCAATCATTTATTGATTTGCCATAGCAAGGTAAGTTTCTCTCCTCTCCATTTTATTTATTTATCTAGGCAGTCCTGGGGTTTGAACTAATAAGGGCCCTTGTGCTTGTTAGGCATGTGTTCTGTCACTTGAGCCACACTCCCAGTTCTTGGCTTTAGTTATTTTTTCAGAGAGGATCTCACATTTTTGCTTGGGCTACTTTCAGATTGTGATTCTCCTACCTCTGTTTTCCCCCATAGCTGGAACTACAGGAACCACTATGTCTGGTTTATTGCCAAGCATATAACTTTTTGCCTGGGCTGGCCTTGATCCACAAACTTTCCAATCTCTTCCTCCCGAGTAGCTGGAATTACAAATGTGAGCCACTGTGCCCAGCTGTTTCCTTATCTTTTTAAACATGAATCTGTTAGGTAGAGAACCTTCATATCCAAATAGGAAGTTTGATTTAGTGACCTTTATTTTATTAGCTAAACAACCAAATTTTATTTTACTTGCATTGTTGGAGATTGAACTCAGGGCCTTATGCATACCAGGCAAGCACTATCACTGAACTTCATCTCCAGCCCCAAGTTTTATTTTTATTTAATATTTTAAAAAATGTAATCTCTAAAGATTTGGGTACAGTAAGCATTTGTGTATATTTGAAAGCATTGGAATTAACTTTTATATTATAAAGTTATTTGCTCATTGGTATTCATCCCTAAAATCATAGAAATAAATCAGATATTGACAAAAATATGAGGTATATTCCATTTCATATAATTTTGTATAAAATATATAATGATATCTAGTATAATATGTTTATATATTTTATTGCATAGAAGAATAAATACTAGATTACATAATGCATTATTGTTATATGTAAGGAAAATACTAAGTTATTAGAAAATAATAGACATTTCACAGTTTGGGGTCATGGGAGATCAATAACTACAACTTAATTTGATGTCTGACATTTGTTAAACTTTAATGAAGTTATGATAATCTCATAATGCACTTGAGTTTGCAAATGCAGCTTCTCATCACTAGAAAATAGAAATTAAACACTGTATTATATGCCACATATATATAAACATTAACATTGAAATACCTCACGTTACCAGGTTCAAATCATAACAATCATACTTATCATTTATCCTATTCCTGTTTATATCTTGATAGCTTCTGAAAAAGTAAATACAGCCATACATTTGAAGCCCATTAATACTAATTTCTCATTACTGTATCAGAAGTTTTTTGCTTTAAAAAAGAAATTTTCCACTTTCTCAAAGTTTCAGGCTTGTTCTCAACTAGTAATATCAATGTTTTCTTTATTTTTCTATATTTTTGAAAAACTGCCTTTTTTATTTGGAACTTTCAGATACAAGTCAGGCTTCTTCCTGAGGTTATGTAAATAACAAAGTTGTTACTGTTTTTTTAAAACAGATGACTTTAGGCTTAGGGCATAGCTTCATGGAAGTGGTTGCATAGCTTGCACAAAAGCAAAACAAAAATAAAAATTGATTTTATGATATGTATATACTTCTAAAGATTTAGAGTACCTTAATACTTGACTTATACAATATGTAAATTAATATCAATGTTATTTTTAGACTTTACTAAGATTTTAATCTGTTTTTAATAGAATACTCAGGTAAAACTTTTTTTAACATGATAGGAAATTACAAAGTATGTTTTAAGTTTCCCCCTTGCCACTTCAAGAGTTAACCACTATTTACGTTTCATGTGAATAATTTCAAGCTCATTTTTATAAAAGTGTGTGAATATATGCACATATCTCCTCATTATTAGTTTTCCTTCCCCATATTGTATCCCATGCATGTTGCCATTTGTACAACTAGTTCATGTGGAAGTACTTTATTTTATTCCTTTTATCTTTTTCTTTTGAGACAGAGACTCACTTTGCAGTCCAGGCTGACCCCGAATTCAGGATCCTCCTGCCTCAGTCTCCCAAGTGCTGGGACTCTACTCATTTTAACAGCTGCATAATAATTGATGTTGTAGATGATCAAGGTTTTCCTAGTGTATTTTATCCAAATGCAGAGTTTTATTTATTTATTTTGTAGTTCTGGGAATTGAACCCAGGATCTTGAGCATGCTAAGGCATGCACTGCACCACTTGAGCCATGCTCCAGCCCTCAGATATAACATTTGAAATTCAAAATGTAATTAATTCTTTGCCTTGTTGTTACAATTCGAGCTCTTTAGGTTAGTTTTTGCTTGGTCTGAATCATGTGTGACCTTGTTACTCTCTGATAGTCTTATTTTGCCCTTATACCTTATATATCACTCAGAAGTTCTGATGTCCTTGAATACACAGAGAAAAATGGTTTGCAGTAGTCTGTTATAATAAAAGAACTCTAGGTTCTAAAGCCTGAATAGATTTTTTTTTTCCCTCCATCTGTAGAGTCTCTAGTCCTAGTTGGTGATTCTAAAGTGGGTTGCCCTTTGAATACATTGGCTCTTCAACTGATGGTCTTCATAATTGATAGTGGGTTGAATTCAAAAATAGTCAAATTGTCTTGCTGAACAAAATAATATTTTTAATTTTTTTGGTGTGACTGGACTTAGAATTCAGGGCTTCATGCTTGCAAAGCAGGTGTTCTACCACTTGAGCCTTACCTCCAGTCCATTTTGCCCCGGATATTTTTTGTTTTTGGAGGTGCGGTTCTCAGGAACTATTTGCCTAGGCTGGCCTCAAACCATGATTGTCCCAATCTCAGCTCCCCCATGTAACTAGGATTATAAGTGTGAGCCTCTAAGTGCCTGGCTCAAAATGATATTTTAAAAGACATTTCACTGGTGGAGTGGCTCCAGTGGTTAGAGCACCTGCCTTGCAAGTGTGAAGCCCTGAGTTCAAACTCCAGTGCTGCCAAAAGAAAGGGAGCAAGGAGGAAAGTGATATTTCAATTATATGAATAGATATCAATACATATAATCACTCTTGATTTCTGATGATAGCTATAGTTATGAAAAATGCTGTGTAAATGTTATATAATTAAATTCATGATGCAATCACTGAGGTACTTGTGAAAAGCATTCTTTTTTTAAGAACTTGATTTTGACAAAAAACAGTCAGCATGTATGTTTCATCTTGAAAAAGTATGTAAGTGATTTAAGGTCAAAATTGTACCTGATAGTTAGATGTCACATGTAATTTGGAAAAACTAAATCCATTGCCTTCTCCTTAGCCTAGATAAGTTTTGTTACAACTATTAGTTAGGTTTAGTATAAAATTTGATGATCAAGCTATTTTCTGCATTTGGGAAATATTTCTTCCTCTTGTCAAAACCCATAGTATTACAAAAGAAAAAAACAAAACAAAACAAAAGGCAAGCAGAACCAAGAAATACTGAGATCGGGGCAAGTTCTTTTTTTTTTTTTTTCATTTTTCTTTTATTATTCATATGTGCATACAAGGCTTGGTTCATTTCTCCCCCCTGCCCCCACCCCCTCCCTTACCACCCACTCCACCCCCTCCCGCTCCCCCCCCCAATACCCAGCAGAAACTATTTGGGGCAAGTTCTTTTTGAAATTGCCGGTATACTTTACACTTTCTCGTTCTGTTATTTATATTTACCCTTTAGAGAAACTAGCCTCAGACATAGTTAATATCAACTCTGAAGACAATTGAAGACAGCCTGGGTCTTTAGATACAGAAAACTTTTTACTTGTAATCAAAAGTACTGGCTCTTTTTTTTTTTACAGATTTCCTTAATTCCTTTTATTTATTTATTTTTCTTTTATTATTCATATGTGCATACAAGGCTTGGGTCATTTCTCCCCCCTGCCCCCACCCCCTCCCTTACCACCCACTCCACCCCCTTCCTCTCCCCCCCACCCCCTCAATACCCAGCAGAAACTATTTTGCCCTTATTTCTAATTTTGTTGTAGAGAGAGTATAAGAAATAATAGGAAGGAACAAGGGTTTTTACTGGTTTAGATAAGGAGAGCTATACAGGGAGTTGACTCACATTAATTTCCTGTGCGTGTGTGTTACCTTCTAGGTTAATTCTTTTTGATCTCACCTTTTCTCTACTTCCTGGTCCCCTTCTCCTATTGGCCTCAGTTGCTTTTAAGGTATCTGCTTTAGTTTCTCTGCGTTAAGGGCAACAAATGCTAGCTAATTTTTTAGGTGTCTTACCTATCCTCACCCCTCCCTTGTGTGCTCTCGCTTTTATCATGTGCTCAAAGTCCAATCCCCTTGTTGTGTTTGCCCTTGATCTAATGTCCACATATGAGGGAGAACATACGATTTTTGGTCTTTTGGGCCAGGCTAACCTCACTCAGAATGATGTTCTCCAATTCCATCCATTTACCAGCGAATGATAACATTTCGTTCTTCTTCATGGCTGCATAGAATTCCATTGTGTATAGATACCACATTTTCTTAATCCATTCGTCAGTGGTGGGGCATCTTGGCTGTTTCCATAACTTGGCTATTGTGAATAGTGCTGCAATAAACATGGGTGTGCAGGTGCCTCTGGAGTAACAGTCTTTTGGGTATATCCCCAAGAGTGGTATTACTGGATCAAATGGTAGATCGATGTCTAGCTTTTTAAGTAGCCTCCAAATTTTTTTCCGGAGTGGTTGTACTAGTTTACATTCCCACCAACAGTGTAAGAGGGTTCCTTTTTCCCCCCATCCTCGCCAACACCTGTTGGTGGTGGTGTTGCTGATGATGGCTATTCTAACAGGGATGAGGTGGAATCTTAGCGTGGTTTTAATTTGCATTTCCTTTATTGCTAGAGATGGTGAGCATTTTTCATGTGTTTAGAGACCATTTCTTTTGATGAACAGAAGCTTTTTAGCTTTATGAGGTCCCATTTATCTATGCTATCTCTTAGTTGCTGTGCTGCTGGGGTTTCTTTGAGAAAGTTCTTACCTATACCTACTAACTCCAGAGTATTTCCTACTCTCTCCTGTATCAACTTTAGAGTTTGTGGTCTGATATTAAGATCCTTGATCCATTTTGAGTTAATATTGGTATAGGGTGATATACATGGATCTAGTTCCAGTGTTTTGCAGACTGCTAACCAGTTTTCCCAGCAGTTTTTGTTGAAGAGGCTGCTATTTCTCCATCGTATATTTTTAGCCCCTTTGTCAAAGACAAGTTGGTTATAGTTTTGTGACTTCATATCTGGGTCCTCTATTCTGTTCCACTGGTCTTCATGTCTGTTTTTGTGCCAGTACCATGCTGTTTTTATTGTTATTGCTTTGTAATATAGTTTGAAGTCAGGTATTGTGATACCTCCTGCATTGTTCTTTTGACTGAGTATTGCCTTGGTTATTCGTGGCCTCTTGTGTTTCCATATAAATTTCACAGTAGATTTTTCAATCTCTTTAGGGAATGTCATTGGATTTTGATGGGAATTGCATTAAACATGTAGATTACTTTTGGGAGTATCGACATTTTTACTATGTTGATTCTACCAATCCATGAGCATGGGAGATCTCTCCACTTTCTATAGTCTTCCTCAATCTCTTTCTTCAGAAGTGTATAGTTTTCCTTGTAGAGGTCTTTCACATCTTTTGTTAGGTTTACACCTAGGTATTTGATTTTGTTTGAGGCTATTGTAAATGGAATTGTTTTCATACATTCTTTTTCCGTTTGCTCATTGTTAGTGTATAGAAATGCTAATGATTTTTCTATGTTGATTTTATATCCTACTACCTTGCTATAGCTATTGATGATGTCTAGAAGCTTCTGAGTAGAGTTTTTTGGGTCTTTAAGGTATAGGAGCATGTCGTCTGCAAATAGGGACATTTTGACAGTTTCTTTACCTATTTGTATTCCTTTTATTCCTTCTTCTTGCCCAAAAACGTACTGGCTCTTAAGTATTTGGCATGGAAAATCACATACCTTTTCTGATCTTCAGTTTTTTTTTCCTTCTTTTTTTTTTTTGGTGATACTGGGATTTGAACTCAGGACCTAATGCTTGCTAGGCAGGTACTCTATCCCTTGAGCTACTCCTCCAGCCCTTTTTATGGTAGGTATTTTCAAAAGAGTCTTATGAACTATTTGCACAGAACTGGCTTTGAACTGCAGTCCTCCTAATCTCTGCCCCCTGAGTAGATTACATTTGTGAGCCACTGATGCCTGGCTTGTTTTCATTTTTAAAATGGGAAGAAAAGTAACTATTGCATCTCTTGGAAGCCTTCTTTTGTTATATATGAAATCCAACCTTTTTTTTCCCCAAAGAATGCCCTTTGTAAAGTGTTAGGTGAGTTATAATGCTATGATCACTACTTCACTTCAAGTTTAACATTGTATGTTTATCATCGTTGAACTGATAAACTAAGTTTTTTATTGTTTTATTAGTCACAGAATATTTATGCTGTATTATTATTTTCATATCATTGATGAAAGCATTAGGCTTAGAAACTTTTTAAAGTCAGGGAGTAAATAGCATAACTAAAATTGGAATTTAAAAACTGTCCATTTTCAGTTTTGTGAGTGATAATACCTTTGGAGTACTGTGCTAGATTATGCTGAGATAAGAGAGGTTGCTGGACATTGGTGCTCACGCCTGCAATCCTAGTGAGTTAGGAGGCAGTGATAAGGAAGATTGCTGTTTGAAGCCAGCCTGGTCAAATAGTTCGTGAGACCTTATCTCAAAGAAACCCATTGTAAAAAAGGGCTGGTGGACTCTCAAGGTATAAGCCCTGAGTTCGAACTCCAGTACTAAAAAAAAAAGATGTAGAGAGGCCAATTGTTCAATTTTACATGGGTGAGAAAAAAAGCCGTATAAATTGGGAAATACGAATTGCTATATTTTTGGAATGCATTAATACCTTCTTTTGTTTGATGATTTTCTTTTTTTTCCCCCTTAATCTTTTGCTTCTTAGTCCCCAACTTGTTTTCTTTATGCATTTCCATCTTTCTCCTTTTCTGATTTTTGAGAAGTAGGTATGTGATACTAAATTTTGTTTTCGTAGATTATCATAACTTCTTCAAAAGATATAATAAGTCAAATAAACTTAGTTATAGTGATGCCTACTTGTAATTGTCTTTGGTTTATGTTACACCAAATACTTCAAGACAGATCTCAGTTACTGAGCATAAAGGAAGAGATTTGGTCCTTTCTAGATTTTTACTGTTACTGTTCTTACCAATTGTTGTTTCAAAAAGGAAAATTTTGTAAGAAAGTGATTTCTCACATTCTTTGACCATAGTAACTACTAGTTGATATTTCCTCTGAATAACTAACTTTTTGTCTTTTTATATTAATAAAGTGTTTAGAAAACTGTCTTTGATGCTGGAAGTCGTCCTAGATTTAAATGACCTCTAAGGATGTAAAGGAAACATTGATGCATTTAGGAATACCTTTAATAGTAGTTTTACAATTCTGGTGCTCTTAAAAACTTAACAAGAAAAACTGGCCTTTAAAGTTTTCCCTAAAATCTTTGTTTCTTTCTAACTCAGGTTAATTTATCATGCATTTTTAAAGCATTGAATTTTGTAAGATATACATGTAGTATATCTTTTACCCACATATATATGCATGCTTATGTGCCCTTGTACCTGTAGTAATGTTCACAGTTTTAAGAATTTTGGGCTTCATATTTTTTCATTTGTTTTTGTACATGGTAGTTTATTAAATCTGCCTTTAATGGAGATTTATTGATCTGTAGAATAATTTCCATTTACTCAGACATACCAAGTGGCTAACCATAAAAAACTGAATGTGACTTGTGGTTTGGATATGGGGTGTAGAAAATAAGAGTGGACTGTAGCAATCTATAGGTAAACAGTGTGATTTCTATTTTGTAGATTTTTGAAATTGAGTATAGTGAATTTAAAAACTCATATATTTGGGTTTCAAACTTAAATTCAACTATGTTGAATTTCAACCATGTCTCTGTTGTACAAATTACTTGTCTGCTGTTTTTCCAAATTATACTTAAAGTCTCTGTTTACCAACTCCCTGAGGGGTGGATTAATTATCATAGTGCGTTGTTTACTTATATATAATATCATGCAGTAACACAGAAGTGGAATTTTATTAACTCTCTTGCTCTTGTATGTGTGGGTGAGGTTGAGGGTATAGTAAATTATACTAAAATTATAATTAATTGGATATTTAAGTTGCTCAGAATTGCTTTATATGTAAATAATTATTTCTAAGTGGAAAAATACTATTTAAAAGGAAATGATTATAATTTGTTGAGTTAGTGAAACAGTTTTATGACTCTTAGTTTAATGTTTGTAAATGTCTCAGAATTAAGGTAATATTTTTTACCTCTTGTTTTTAAAAATACAGTGCCTTTACTTTCCCGAATTCTGCCTTCTGATGCATGTAAAATATACAAACAAGGTATCAATATCAGGTAAGGTGATTTGATTTTTTTTTTTCTGAGTAAAAGCGAAGAAAATTCAGATTTTCTTTTACTTTTTGTAATCATATAGTGTACTTTTAATATAATGCTGTAATAAATTTTAATAAAAATGCTGTAATACATTCACATATTTCATTTGAGACAAATGAGGAACCAGAGACATAAAATCTTGACTAAAGCAGAGATACTAGTTTTATTGAACTGCACAGTAATAGGCAGAATGAAGATCATGACAATAATATTCCAGATCTAGGATGATTACCTCCCTGATCCTAGATTTATTAAAAAATAAGGGATATCTAAAGAAGGCTCGAATCTTGCCTTTTACTTCATCTCTTCCCTATTTATGTATCCATTCATCTATAGTCATTTATCTTTTCTAGTGAACACTTTAAGGCTAATTTTAATTTTCTTTTGTTCCCTTCCTTTTACAACTAAAACTGGTGTTTGGGTCTGTTTAGAAAAAAATGTATCTTTAACATATTTATCAGTTATATCTGTGTAAACTAATTGCAGTGAGTATGCTAACATATATCTCTGTACATATATAGGTATTTTTATAGTGTGTGTATATGTCTACCTAGAATGAAAAATAACTTGAAGGATTATTTTATAGGAATAAATTTGTAGATGAGAAAGCTCAGAGAAGTTGAGTGATTTTTTTTTTAATGAGCATTTTACAAACAGTGACTGAACCAAGACTTCTGACTTCCTGCCATTTATCCTTCTCACCATATCACAAAGCAGAAATTTTTTTAAAAAAATCAACTGCTTGTGGTAATATTTATTATATGATCTTTTGAATTGTAGAGGAAACAACCTTTAGTTGGAAATAAATTCTAGGTAATTATCCTTAGAAATAGGATTTTATTAAGGTAGGTATTTCTGAAGTTTTTGTTTTAAAAAATAACTTCTTGGGCTGAGGATGTAGCTTAGTGGTAGAGTGCTTGCTTATCATGCATGAGGCCCTGGGTTCAATCTTAGCACTACAGAACCCATCCCCCACCCCCAAAACAAAAACAAAAGCCAACTTCTTCAGGTGTTTCTAATCATGAAAGTACTCATATACATTAAATACTTGGTTGTTTTAGAAAATTTGGAAAATGAAAAAGAAGAAAATCAAATAGGAAGAATTTTGATAGTGATAGAGATTTAATTCAGTAGACTTTTATTAAGAAAGTTAGTTTTAGTTCTGTTTGAGTCTTACATTTAGGCAAAACAATCTTTAGAAAAATTGTTTCATATTTACATATGACTTTTAAAAGTAAGTGATACAAGGGCTAGAGAGATAACTCAGTGGTAGAGGTCTTGCCTTGCATGATTGAAAGCCTGAGTTTAATCCCAAGAATGCAAAAAAATTAATGATAAATGCATATTATCAAATAAAATGTGTAGGTGTATAAATGTGTGATGAATAAAACTCTAAAATGGTTAAGACAGGGACAAGTGAATAAAACCTGAGAAGAATAATTGACAGAAGTTGTAAGCTACTATAATTTAACAAGATACTCAGACATGAAAGTTTACTGACTGATGCCTGAGGCTGAAGGAGAAATGAGATAGGTTCTAAAACTGTCCTTACAAAATTTACCAGATTAATCGGGGAGGGTAGCTTTTAGGATGTATGGCAAAAGTTTATTGCCTAGATTGAGATTCTTTTTAAAGAAAAAGATCTGCTAACATCTAATAAAATCTTTGAGTTTTAAATGTTGTAAGAAATGTAGCCCAGGCTAGCCCTGAACTTGAAATCTCCTGCTTCTGCCAGTACTGAGATTATAGCCACCATATCCCGCTAAATTATATCATATATGTTAGGCCATCTAATATGTCAGAGGTATTGCAGAAGATGTATTAGTTTTCTTTCAGTTGCAAGTTGTAGAAACACAGATGAAATAAAAATCAGTATTAGTTTATGTAACTAACTGGGAAGTTTCTATGACTGATTGTAGGTATTGCTGGATCTAAGATCTCAGATTAACCATGTCAGTGTGTCTTTATCTTTCTGTGCATCTCCTCTCTCACCTTTCCCATCCCCACTCCTGGAAACCCACTACCACTCTTACCTAGATCTGGCAAGAAGGAAGTAGAGACAGAACACTGTTCTGCACCATTTTTTCTTTTGTGCTCAGTATAACTATTCCTTTTTGATATTACTAAGACCCTACATTTTATAGAGGTGAGACACGAGCCCCTTCACTGACACTATTTTCTCTTGAGCCACATGCATAAGCCATGACAGGTCTTATTTAGTAGTATAGGCAGAAAGTTATTGGGAGACGATCAGGAGCTGGCACTTGGTGATAAGACATCAGAGAGGCTTCACCCCTGAAGAAGTTGGTGAACTGCTTTTCTTAGGGCTTTTGGAAGGACATGTGTATTTTATATGGCTCGTGTGATATATATGCCATATACATTGGGTAATCATATTTTCTTCTTTGCTCTGGTTCACCCCCTGTTGTCCTAGTAAAATTATTAACAGTATTATCTTCATTCTTAAAAGCTTTTAGTTTTTATATTAAATTATATACAACCCTAGTTTTTTTTTTTTTTTGATGTAGCATGTGAGATATGTTCCAGTTTTCAGCTTTTCCTGTGTAGGGAAACCAAGAATACAAAGAAAAAATTCGTATGCTACATTAGAGATTCAGTAGCTAGAGTGGATCTCTCACAAAGACTTAAAGGAGCCTCCTGAGGTGTGATCAGCATTCTTAACAGTTGAACCAACCAGTATTTTAGATTAAGGATTGTATGTTTTGAACATCTGGTCAGGCAGAGTGAACTTGATACTCTGGCTTACAGAGTCTTGTGCTAGGTCAAAATACTCCAGGGTACTTGTGAAAGTTTTTGTTCTGGTATTTTCCCTAATTTCAGCAAGTATTGCTAGCCACTGGGCTAGACCATTCTAGGTCCAGGTTACTAAAGAACACAATGAACATACAAGTGTGTGAATCCACAAGTATTTGCTACAGAGTTGTCCATAAAGCTTTCAGGCTGTGGAGATGTTGTTTGGGAAAGAGAATAGTAGTCCGAATCTGGAAATCAAAGAATTTGCAGTAGGTTAAATGATTGCTCAAATTCAAGGATAAATAAGGTTTGATAGCAGGTGATTAGGTATAAGGAATGGATATAGATCGAAAGGAAAGTTCTCAATCCAAGAATGTGGTCCATATATTGTTGCATCCATCTCAAATACTTTACTGAGGTGGTAACATGGTCTTAGAGAGATAAAGGAATGTTAGTTCTTTTTCTGTCCTTAACTTTATTGAGTAGCTACAGTAAGGGAAATGGTAGGAAACAAAGGTATAGTAATGGAAATATTTTAACAGTGGGGAAAACTTTTTTCTCATGCTATGTTAACGAAGAAAAGTGAACTATAGATAAAAATGGAATGTGTTGAAATATTTTAAATATTTTAAATGTAGCTTTTATCTGTAAATTTAAATTTGAAATATGGTATTAACATCTTAGTTTGAGTTTTGGAGTCACAAAGTTTATTTAATTACTAAAGTTTTATCACAATTTTATTTGTCAGAATTTCTTACCTCTCCATTTTTCACAGGCTTGACACAACTCTCATCGACTTTACTGACATGAAGTGCCAACGAGGGGATTTAAGCTTCATTTTCAATGGGGATGCAGCACCCTCTGAATCTTTTGTAGTATTAGACAATGAACAAAAAGTTTATCAGCGGATACACCATGAGGTAAGTGTGTTGTCTTTTTTTTTTGTTTGTTTTTTAACTTTATTTTTTTCCTCTTTTTTAAAAAATCTGGGTGAGGGTACACTGTGGTATTTACAAAGTTTTTATAATATGTTAAATACACATACTTGAATTCACCCCCTCCACTAGTCTCCTTTATCCTTCCCTCACCCCAATTCCTGGAACAGTTTTAACAGTTATCCTTTTTCCATTCACATATAGAGCATGTTGTCTTATTACTGTTTTTCTAAATGGTTAAAAAAAAAAGCCTATGTATTTAGCCATGCCTCTATATATTTTCTTTAAAAGAATTAAATGTAACTCAAATGGTTTATTCCTAAAGCATTGATTTCCTTACTTCATCCTGACCAATCCATTGAGTTGCTCAGAATTCACCAAATATCTCCTAGATCAATGGACTACAACTTCTCTTAGTTCTCATTTGTAGTTTTCATTTTCTGAACTTGTGTTGACCCTTCTACCATTCAGTGTCATACTACCTTAGCTACTTTCAATGTTGCTTTATCTCCTTAATAAGAATGCCTATTTTGGCTATTTCTGTACTCTTTTACTCTTTGTAACTCTTTGACTGTCTTTTTCTTCTATCTTTTCCCTCTTTATCTACCTCTATCACATGATATCTTAATGTTAATATTCATTATACCACTGTTGAAAAACCACAGGTACCATTATCTTTGTCCTTTGTTCCCTTTCCTTGCTGTCAACTAAAGAAAACTTTTTAAATATCTGTGTATCGATAGCACTAAAGACGTTTTTCTTTGGGGGGGTGGGGGGCGGATTCTCCTTGTGGTGCCTGTGATGGTCAAGTTCCTGAACTCAAGCGATTCTCCTCCCTTACATTCCTGAATGCCCTATAGGTGTTTTTTATTTGTTTGTTTTCGTTTGATGGTACTGGAGTTGAATTCAGAGCTTTGCTCTTGGTAGATAGGCACTCTACACTTGATTTACTCCACCAGACACTACAGGCATGTTTTTAAATCAGCTTTTTTTTTTTTTTGCTATTGGCAAAAAAAATGGAATGTTTTTCAGCACTCCATTTCTCCCTGTTGCCATGTCATAGTCACATCTCGGGGTTCCTTTCTGAATATCTCTTAGATTAGACCTTCTTACTGTTATATCTGTTGACAAGACCTTAGTTACCTTGTATGTCCTATTGAAATAGTGTATTGTAATTGACACTAAGCAGTGAAGGTACAGAATTAAAGAGGAGAAGAAAGAAGAAAAAATGGTGTTCTTTGTAGAGGAAGCAGGATGAATAAAGTTAGGGAAATAGGAATAAGAATGGTCTATTTGGGGCTGGCAGAGTGGCTCATGGGAGAGTGCCTGCCTGTCAAGCACAAGACCCTAAGTTCAAGCCCCAATATTACTACCACCACCAAAAAAAAAAAAAAAAGGTCCATTTGGGAAACATGGTCTATCTGATTCTAGAATGGGTTCTCTTATTGAATGAGAAAGGAGTTTATGAAAGATTTAAAAAACCCCATAAGAACCAGGCATGGAGGCTCATGTCTGTAATTCTAGGTACTTGGTGGGGGGGAGGGTCGGAGATCAGCACAGTCATGGTTCAAGGCCAGCTCTGGCTAAAAAAAGTTTGTGGGACTCCATCTTACCCAATAGAAGCTGTGTGTTGTAGTGTGCACCTGTCCTCTGAGCTACATGGGAAGCAGTCCAGTCTGGCTGGGCAGAAATGCAAGACCCTATTCAAAAAAATGCCTAAAGAAAAAGGGTTGTGTATTGGCTCAAGTGGTAGAGCACTGGTCTAACAAGCCCAAGGCCCTGAGTTCAAACTCCAGTACTGGTAAAAGAAGCCCAAAAAACTATGATAATTTAGGATTTGCTGCAGTCAGCAACAGTGTCACAGAATTTTAAACAAGATTTTGATTTGATCAAAAGATGAGTTGATTTGGGTGAATTGACCCTCCCTCCCTACTCCGTCCTTCCCCTCCTTCTTCCCTCCATTCCTCCCTCATAAATGCTAGGCACTGCTAGGCACTATGGATAATAGTATTTCATTAATAGTATATATCATTTAATACCATGTACTATAGCACTAAAAAATAATTGGCAGCATATAAGGATTATAATCTAAGTGATTTATAGCTTTCCTCATTAAGTCCTTAAAATTACCACCCAAATAAGGTCATACCCCCATTTTACAGATGAGAAAATTGAGGCCTGTAGATGTTAAATAATGGCTTTAAGATCACACAGCTAGCATTCTACATGAATAGGAAAACAGTGATTAGAGACAGGGAAATAAAGATGTTTTTATAGATACTTATTTGAGAGGTGGTACAGATACTAGAATAGTGCAGTAAATAACTAAGAAGGAAATTTTATATACATTTTTAGAAATGACATAATAGAAATTGCTAATAGTATGAATGTAGTGAATTAAGAACAGGAAACATTTAAGATTAAGTGCAGTGATACTGGCTTGAAAAGTGGACAAAGATGATGCCACTTGGTAGGTTTGGGACAGTTGGAAAAGGAAACAGGTTTAGGATTTTAGGTGATGTTCATTGTGAATACATTGCTAAAGTTGGTGTATTTCTTTATAAAGCATTTGCTATTATTTAGTTCTTGAAATGTTTATTTTCTTTGAGTTTTACCTTGGTTAGTTATTTTCCCATTTCTCCTTATTTTCTTTTGTTCCTTTTTGTCTGCTTATCTTTTAAAATATTGATATGACCTTTATGTGGTTTTCATTTTTATAAGAACAATCTTCATTCTGTAATTAGCTTTTATAGGCTAATGATTCACAAATATATGTTGGTATCTTAGATAGTTCTTCTGGATGAAGACCTGTGTATTTAAATACCTGATGGATATTACATACCTCCTAGGTACCTCATTTAAAACTGAACTCATTATTTTCCCTTCAGACCTGTTTTCTCCTATTTTTCCTTTCCTGGTAAATCATAACATTCTCTGTTCAGTCAGAAATCTGGGAGTTATTTTTGATATCCTTTGTCATAATTCATATTTCTTAGGGAACATGTCTAGTGCTTTCTGTTTCCTTAATGTCTTACAGTTATCCCTTTTTTATACACATTCCTATTGCCATAATCTGGATACTCCATATTTCTCAGTTATACTATTACAAAAGTTTGATATGTGATCTTCCTATCTCTCTGATTGTCTGCTTCTAAGTTATCCTATATGTTAAAGAGCTATTGAACTTAAGTTTTTTTTTTTTTGCCGGTACTGGGGTTTGAACTCAGGGCTTCATGCTTGTTAGGAAGGCAATATACCACTTAAGCTGCTCATCTACTGAATTTTAAAAGCAAATTTATAGTCAGGCCCAGTACTTGGAAGGCTAAAGCAGGAGGATTGAGAGTTTGAGGTGTGCCTGGGCTATGTAGCGTGACCCTATCTCAATAAACTAAACCTAACCTCTAAGAAAACCAAATACATGAAATCTTTCTTGCTTAAACATACTTTTAAACATTCCCAGTTAACTAAAGAGTGAAATTCAAACCTCTTCAAATAGCTTGGTTCCTTTTGTGACCTGATTTTTGCTCACTTGTTTAGCCTTTGTCTTGTCTTGCTAGGCCCCTCATTCTGTATCTCTTTTAGATACCTCATTCTGAACTGTTCACAGTTTTTCACGTTACCAGACCATTTAGGAATTCATTTCTTTGGTCAGGTTTCCATTTCCTAAACCTGGCATGCCCTCCTTGCATCATCACACCTTTCATTACCTACTTAGTGTCACTTCCTCCCCTGTGAGGTGACCTTGTTTTCTTTATGTTCTTTCTAAATCTGGAACCATAAATCTTTTAGTGCAATATTTGTTTATTTGGCTTTCTCTCTCTAGTGGGGTAAGCTTTCTAAGGGCCATAGGGTTCTTTTAATTGTATTCTCTGGTACCTAACACAGCATTTACACCAAGATTGGCAAACTGTTTCAGTAAAGATAGAGATAATAAATGTTTTAGAAATTTAGATATATTTGTGGTCTGTACTGTGTCACAACTGTTCAACTCTGCTGTTACAAGAATAACAGCAATTATAAGCAATATGTAAATAAGTGTGCATGATGATATTTCAATATGATTTTATTTTTTGAAAAGGCAGTCAACTGGATTTAACCTGCCAGTTATAATTTGCTGACCCCTATTCTAGACTCTCAGGTATTTATTTGTTTGACCTCTTGCATATTAAATGACAGCAGGATAGCCAACTAGACAATAATAACTGAGTTGTAAATATGGCACTGAGATAAGGTTAAGAAGCCATTGATAAATTTAGCAGTGTAAGTATTAGTTGATAAGATCAGTATGGCATTGATAAGATCACCAGATGAATGATACTTATGGTAATATGTATATGAATGTGTACATAATACCTAAAATATAGGAAACTGCATTTTGAGCAGCAATTCTTAGGGCAGTAGGCCTTCTACATTCTCAGGTTCTCAATCCTCAGATTTAATCAACCATATATCAAAAATATTCTAAATGAATTTGTACTGAACATAACACATTTTTTTTATTATCATTATTCCCTAAATAGCTACTATTTACATAGCATTTATATTTTAGAGGTATTAGAAGTCATCTAAAGATGAGTGAAAGTACCTAACTTACATGGAAATACTGCACCATTTTATACAAGAAACTTTAGCATCCACAGGTTTTGGTATGTGCGGTATCCTGGAACCACTTCTTCACGGGTCCTGAGGGAGGATTGTATTTGTTTATCCTAATGTGCATATATAAGTAATAATTGTTCATTAGATCTTTGCTGAAGGAATGTAATTAACTGAAGATCTTTTTCGATGATGTGGTTAGGAGGTATCTGATTTATAGAGGGATTCTATTTAAATGTTTATATGAAACATGAGTTTCTACGTAAGTAATGTGATATATAGTGTTTAGTTTCCAAGCAGACATATAAAATTCTAGTTGTTATAACATATTTGAAGTGTAGTGTTTAATAATTCTTTTCAACCTACTCTAACCAAACTTTTTCTTTAAAAAATTGTGTTCAGTATTTGCATTACAGGAATATGCTTTTCCCTATTATGATCTTGGCAGTAATCTCAAGATTTTGCAGTCTTCAACTGTAAGGGTAGAAGAAATGGTTCTGTCCTTCTTCTAAGCCATTGCTGCTGTTTTCCACAGACTGAAAGAGTGAAGTGGTGAAGAATAGAAAATAGGGCTCTTGAGAACCTAGAACAAAGAAGGTATAGAAAATTGAGCCTCTAGCCATTACAAACTTTTGGACAACTCTCATTCCCCAGATAGATCTCTACCTTTACCTAATATTAGAGTGTCTTTCAGACTATTAGGAGAAAGAACCTCATCCTACATCTGCTCACTTACTCCTCTGTATCTGATCACTTAGTCGTCTTCGTCTTGGAAATTTATCATAACAGGATAAAAATGGGGAGAAATGGGAAAAAAAAAGAGAAACATTTCCTGCCTCCATGCAGGAGGTGGGAATAGAGACTCAAAATGGTGGTCCCCATCTCTTAGTCTTACATTGGAGAGCTGAGTCACTTAGTCTTCTATTCCTGAAGCAAGCACAGAATTTAACACTTTTTTCATCTAGAAAGTAATTCTTCCTCAGTTACTGTGTACCTGAAGCAAGTTTACATATGAGGTTTAGAAATCATACCTGGTATTAATGACTTCCTTTTTATAGGAAATAAAAGACCCATCCTCTCTCTCCTTCCTTTTAAAAGTTGTGGAGAAAGAAAGGCTCATATGATATTGACAGATTTTTTTATTAACAGAACTGATTCTTCTTATTTTTAAAGAAAACAAACCTTTGTAGCTGAGTGTGGTGGTGCATGTCTATAATTCCAGCACTTATGAAGGTGAGGCAGGAGAGTTCTGAGTTTCAGGCCATCCTGGGCTACATAGTGAGACCCTGTCTCAAAACGAAAACAAAACAAAAAATACTAAAACAAGGACAGGGGCATGGCTCAAGTGGTAGAGTGCCCCAGCTGTGAAGCCCTGAGTTCAAACTCTTAGCATTGTTTAAAAATCCCTCCTCAAAACCTTTATATAGACATTTCATCTCAGGTGTCAATTTATTTTAAAGTAATGTTTTTTTATTATTATTATTATTATTTTTTTTTTTGTGGTACTGGGTTTCAAACTTACGGCCTTATGCTTGCTAGGCAGGTGCTATACCACTTGACCCACTCCACCAGCCCTTTTTGGTGTTGGATATTTTTGAGATAGAGTTTCACTAATTATTTGCTCAAGCTGGCTTCAAACTGTGATCCTCCTGATGTGTACTTCCTGAGTAAGGTAATGTTTTAAAATTGCTCAGCAGACTAGACAGTTCTGTAATGGGTAGCACTGTTTCAATTACGTGTCTTATAGGGGTGTAAAAATGCTGTTTCATGTATCCTGCTTTTAAAGATTCATAATTAATAGGTAATAATTCAGATTTATTGGAGAAGATACTAGATATTGAAATTTAAACATCTAATTGTTTTTAGAATGAATAGCACTCACATTTAGAAGCTGTCCTTTTTGATTTAAAATCTGTAACATTATAAGTGTTAATATTTTTATATGTAGACCTTTGAGGAAAACCTAGATTCTTATGTTTTACTTTTGCCCTCATCTTAGGAGTCAGAGATGGAAACAGAAGAAGAAGTTGACATTTTAATGAGCAGCGATATTTATTCTGCAACTTTATCAACCAAATCAATTTCTTTCACACGTGCCCAAACTGGATGGCTTTTCCGGGAAGATAAAACAGTATGTGCAAATCTAGATTTTCAAACTTTAAAAATTAGTATTTAATATTGCCAAAAATTGTAATGGGACTGTAGGAAGAAGTAGCTTATTTATGCCAGATGTGGTTGTGCATGCCTGTAATTTCAGCATATGGAAGGCTGAAGCAGGAGGATTGAGAGTTTGAGGTCCAGCCTAGACTATATCCTGACTTCTAAGCCAGCCGTGGCTACATGTGAGACTCTGTCTCAAAAACTATATACGTAGCTTATAGAATTGTCTTCAACTAGTCTGTATGTATGAATCCAGATTGGTAAACATAATGTTTGGTTACAGAGTTGGAATGTATACTTTGAGAAGCCAGGAGAGAGAGTTTAGTTTACTTGAGTTCTCTGCCAGGAAGGTTTTTTTGTTAACTGCCTTATTATACAGAGAAAAGTGTTTTCATTGGCTTCCATTTTATTTCCAGTGCTTTATTTATAAGAAGGGTGAGATACACCTGAATTCATTTCCCTGTATCTTTTTTTCTTCCCCACTTTCACTGAGTATCTGTAGCTCAGTAGTCTATGTAAACTCAAATTAAGCTTACTTTTCTATAAGACTATCATTAACTTAAATCTCAGTGGAAGTTTTCTCCATTAATGACTTGTAAATTCTCTCCATAATTCCTATTTATCTGTCAGCATAGGGTAATAGAAGACTTTAAAAAATATATTTAAAAGAATTTTCAAGATGTGGTGGTGCATGCTTGTAATCCTGGTACTTGGCAGGCTGAAGCAAGACAATCACTTGCAGCCAGTCTGGGCTAATAACCAGACACTGCCTCAATATCTCCCCCAAATATATGTACATATATAATATATATTATAAAAATACATATTTTAAATTTTTGAATGAAATGTGTAAAGAAGCATTTATACATATGTAGATATATGTATATTTGTGATACAAGGGTTTGAACTTGGCCTTGCATTTGCTAGGCAAGCATTCTGCCATTTGAGCCATACCTCCAGCTCTTTTTTGCTTTAGTTATTTTTCAGGTGTGGTCTCACATTTTTGCACAGGACTGGCCTCACACATGGTCACCCATGTAGCTGGGATCACAGGGGTTTGCCACCTTAAGAGTAGCTCAGATTATAGGTATGAGCTACCACGTCTGACTATTTTGATAAATTTTTGAATTTTAGAATAACTGCATCAGGTAAGGGGCAAGATGAACTGTTTTTAAAAATTACATTTTTAGTAAACACAGTAAGAAGATATATTTGCGTTAGAGAAACAAAAATATAGCTTGTATTAGTTGGGATTCTCTGAAAAACAAGATTAATAGGAGATAGAAAAAGGGGGAAGAAATAGTTGGGGAGAAGAAAGAGTAAGAGAAGGAGAGGGAGAAACATTTATTTTTAGGACTTGGTTCATGTAATTTTAGGAGTTGACAAGTTGGAAATTGTATACAGCAGTCTAGCAAGTTGGAAATTCAGGGAAGAGTTAATATTGTAGTATTGAGTCAAAAATCTAAAGACTAGACAGACTATCAGGCAGTGTATCGGTGAGGCAGTTTTGAAGTAAAAGACCCACCTCATTTTGGAGAATAATCTTTTTTACCAGAATTTAGCTGATTAAAATGTCAGTTACATCTAAAAAATAGCTTTACAGCAACATCTTGACTAATACCAGAGCATTTTAGCCTAGCCAAATTAATATAAAATTAACCATCATACAACTTCACACACACAGCTGGACAGTCTCCCTTGACTACTACCCACAGTCTCCTACTACCCAAAATCCTAGACACCTTGCTGAAGGTTATCTGTAAATCCTCCAGACCTTTTTTTATTTTCCATATGTAGATATGTATTCATAATAATATGTAGTCTTTTGTTTTGATGTTGTACCTGTTGTTTTGCAACTGGCTGTTTTTAGTCTTTAGTATGAGATAGAAGCTTTTTCTTACCATTGCATGTAGTGCTACTTCATTCTTTTTAGCAACTGAATAGTATTCCGTACTATGGATATTCTGTAACTTGTTTATCCAATTTTATTTTTATACATTTAATTAGTTAGGCACATCTTTATGTTTTCTGCTGTTATAAATGAATGTGCCTACCATCCTTTTACATGACTTTGTATTGTATGTTAAAGGTAGCAAGAAATGAAATGGCTGGATCATGGGGAATACATACTTCACATTTTTATTGATATAATAACATACATTTAATAAATGCTTTGTCATTGTATGGTTTCAAAGCCTGATAATTACTACCCAGCCACAGATGAATTCTAACTGTGAGTTCTAGGCTCATCAGTTTTCCTCTCTAAGCCTATTTGGCAACAAATGGCATTTAGGATTCCAAGTTGTGGGATCCTGCATTGCAGTCCATTTGTTGGTTTGGAGTCTTATTTGTCTGTACTCTGTTCTTCTGGACAGCATTAGATGGATCACTTCAAGAGAAGATAAAATTGAAACTGCTATTCATCTAGTGCTACTGCTAAGCAGCTCAAAGCTCTTGAACAGCGTCTAGGTGATCTCCTTAAATCTTTGACAGGTAAGGAGGGAGTCAGTATGCTTATGGTTCCCATTTTGTAGGTAGAAACTGGTGCAAAATGCTTTGCTTTCTGATGACTTATATGCAAGGAGGCCACCGAAGCAAGGTGGACCAGGAAATAATGCTAAACACATAGTTTTGGAATGACAGAAAAGAGCAATGCAGAGACTGATTTGCATGTAGGTAGAAGTGGGAAGCTTGTTTTTACTAAGTTATTGATTTATTTTTAAAGTATTTCAAACTCTGACCACCTGTAGGTCTGAAAAAAGGTGAAGGTTAATGTTGAAGGATTAGCAAGACTTCATTGAAAAGAAGTAACTACTTTTGTTGCCTTTCTTGTCACTTGAATTTCCTTCTCCCCAGTCCATAATTAAAATACTTAAATGTGTCGGGGAGCAAGACTACTCTGCTTTCTCTGCTTCTTTCCAAAGCAGCAAGCAGCTACAACTTAAATTTTGGTCCTGTTAGAGATTAGAGAACATAAGCAGGGTCACCAATTATAGTTGTATTAGAGATTCTTATGTGACTTGGATTGTTTCATCTTTATTCTGCTTTTCTTTTCTATCTATAAAATGGGAACAGTGTAATCCCTGACCCCTCCTTGTTACTCATAATGTTTGTTGGTTTAATAAAGTTTTCAGATAGCTTTGTGCTACTTGGGAGTAGATTATAAAAGAATACTATGTGGTATTTTTATTTAGTCTTAACTCACCTGTAAGTTAATAACTGTACATTTTTGTGTCTTTTAAAATTTCCTGTATACATTGGAGATGCATAATTTGTATATTTTAATGTAACAGGATATATAAAATGATTTGGTAATTTCAAATATTAAAGGGATATTTATTTTCACTGACATATTACATGTTTACAGAAAAATATATTACTTTGACACTTTTCTTTTTAATCTTAGAAGAACTTACTTTAAATTTCACTATTTTGAATGTTTGGTTTTGTTTTAGGAAAGAGTAGGAAACTTTTTGGCAGACTTTTATCTGGTGAATGGACTTGTTTTAGAATCAAGGAAAAGAAGGGAACACCTCAGTGAAGAGGATATTCTTCGAAATAAGGCCATCGTGGAGAGTTTGAGTAAAGGTGGAAACATAATGGAACAGAATTTTGAGGTATAATTTTTACTTTTCCTAATTTATTGTTTTCTCATGAGAAAAAGGATGGTGTTCCTGACATTTGAGATGTTTTACTATGAATTTCCTTTTGTTTTTCTGTGAGTCTTCATTTTCTTCATGTCACTATTAGGAAGCAAAGAAAAAAAAAAACTTTTTTTTTTTTTTTTGTGAGGGTTTATGCTTGTTATTTGAGTCTCCATTAATAAGTACATTAAAATCGTTTGTGAGTATGAAACCCAGTGTTAACTTTTATTCCACGTTCCTTTATGTAAAGTTCCAAAATCTGCTGCTTCGAAGGCCCAGCTAAAGATCCATCACTAACCTATACCATCCCGTAAATTTTTTATTCAGATATGTTTATTGAAAGCATGCTGTATGCAAAGCATTGCATGATCAGTAAGGAATGGGGAGGGAAATTAAGAAATAAAGAGATACATGAAACATGGTAACTACTCCTACCATCTTTCCTAATGAAATTAATTGGATGGATTCTTAAATTTATTTTTTATTTTGGCAATTTTAGTTTTACAAATAAGTACTAGAATTCCTGAATATCTTTCAAGATTCCTCAAATGTTAACATGTTATTATATTGTTTTTCAAACGATAGGGTAGGGACCCTTTCGTAGATAGGGAATTAATTTAGTGTGCCACAATTACCTTTTTTTTTTTTTTTAATATTAGTATCTGAATAAAAGTGATAGAAGCTGGGTGCTGGTGGCTAATGCCTGTGATCCTAGCTACTAAGGAGACAGTGATCAGGAGGGTTGAGGTTTGAAGCCAGCCCAGGGAAATAGTTCTTGAGACCCCATCTTGAAAAAAATCCATCACAGAAAAGGGCTGATGGAGTGACTCAAGGTGTATGCCCTGAATTCAAACCCCAGTTCTGGAAAAAAAATGAAAAAAGATAGAAAACAACCAGAGCAACACGCATAGAGTCATTACTAGTTCATAAAACAATAGTTTATGTGTGTGTTGTATAAACATTCATACACGTGGGGGCTGGATTGAAGTGTAAACAGTCATAGGCATAAGAAAATAAAGACTATGAAAAGGAAGTTTGAATTACTTCAGTGTTGAATCCCTCCTCTATGGTGCCAGGTTATATGCCCTGGAGATGGATAAATTTTCCAGAATAGTATGCCTGATTCCAGCCAATTCATGGTAATACTATATGTTCCAAAAAAATATTTTTTTTTCTTTTTATTTTTAGTTTAATTCTGCAGCCTAGAAAAATGTATGGTTTTTTCCTTTCAGCGTTTTTTGATTACAGTCAGATTGAGAGAATTTTGTTAAAATAGCTTTTTTTTTTCCTTTTTCTTTTATTATTCATATGTGCATACAAGGCTTGGTTCATTTCTCCCCCCTGTCCCCACCCCCTCCCCTACCACCCAGTTCGCCCCCTCCCTCTCCCCCCCAATACCCAGCAGAAACTATTTTGCCCTTATTTCTAATTTTGTTGTAGAGAGAGTATAAGCAATAATAGGAAGGAACAAGGGTTTTTGCTGGTTGAGATAAGGATAGCTATACGGGGCATTGACTCACATTGATTTCCTGTGCGTGTGTGTTACCTTCTAGGTTAATTCTTCTTGAACTAACCTTTTCTCTAGTACCTGTTCCCCTTTTCCTATTGGCCTCAGTTGCTTTTAAGGTACCTGCTTTAGTTTCTCTGTGTTGAGGGCAACAAATGCTAGCTAATTTTTTAGGTGTCTTACCTATCCTCACCCCTCCCTTGTGTGCTCTTGCTTTTATCATGTGCTGAAAGTCCAATCCCCTTGTTGTGTTTGCCCTTGATCTAATGTCCACATATGAGGGAGAACATACGATTTTTGGTCTTTTGGGCCAGGCTAACCTCACTCAGAATGATGTTCTCCAATTCCATCCATTTACCAGCGAATGATAACATTTCGTTCTTCTTCATGGCTGCATAGAATTCCATTGTGTATAGATACCACATTTTCTTAATCCATTCATCAGTGGTGGGGCATCTTGGCTGTTTCCATAACTTGGCTATTGTGAATAGTGCTGCAATAAACATGGGTGTGCAGGTGCCTCTGGAGTAACAGTCTTTTGGGTATATCCCCAAGAGTGGTATTACTGGATCAAATGGTAGATCGATGTCTAGCTTTTTAAGTAGCCTCCAAATTTTTTTCTGGAGTGGTTGTACTAGTTTACATTCCCACCAACAGTGTAAGAGGGTTCCTTTTTCCCCCGCATCCTCGCCAACACCTGTTGGTGGTGGTGTTGCTGATGATGGCTATTCTAACAGGGGTGAGGTGGAATCTTAGCGTGGTTTTAATTTACATTTCCTTTATTGCTAGAGATGGTGAGCATTTTTTCATGTGTTTTTGGCCATTTGAATTTTTTCTTTTGAGAAAGTTCTGTTTAGTTCACTTGCCCATTTCTTTATTGGTTCATTAGTTTTGGGAGAATTTAGTTTTTTAAGTTCCCTTTATATCCCTTTATATTCAGTCCTTTGTCTGATGTATAGTTGGAAAATATTTTCTTCCACTCTGTGGGTGTTCTCTTCAGTTTAGAGAACATTCCAAGAAAATATTTTAATGTTTAGATAGTTCATGTATTAAATGGATCAGTCATAATTTAGTTAAGTGAGTACACTGATCATGACAATTTAGTGTGATCTTACACCCTTCCTGCCTGTATGTACTCTTTTTTCTTGCGTTGAATTAGAGCCTCATCAGTCTTCATTTAATTACTGAATTTTGGTTAGTACGTTTGTGCTCAGGAGAAAGAAATGGAGATAAGTTGAAAGAGGGGATGCTGAACTTACTTGTTGACAAAGTTACCCCCTTTTTCCATTGACCAGACAAAAAGGCCATGGGTCTTTGGACTTGTATTATGTTTTAAATTTTATTAAGAGTTTCTTTAAAATGCTTTCTAAGTTTCATTTTCATTGAAATCAGAAACCCAATCATATAGCCCTGATTTATTGTCCATATAAAATTGCCATCTTTTCTGAACTACTTTACTATTTTATTTTCTGTAGTCTCTTGGACACATCCCACCCCCTCCTCTTTTTGCAGTACTTGATATTTTCTGTAATCCTTTGGTCTTTAATGGTGTATTGTTTTGAGCTAGGTGCAGTGGTGCACACCTGTAGTCCTAAGAACTTAGGGGGCTGAGGCTGGAGGATTGCTTATGCCCAGAAACTTGGGACTGTAGTGTGTTAATGCTGTTTTGGTGTCTGCAGTAAGTAAAAATAGTCGGGGATTTGCCTGTGAATAATCACTGCACTTCAGCCTGGGCAGTAGCTTTAAAAATCTTATTTTTGTATTTCTTGTTAACTGTTCATCTCTGTATTTTCTTTTCTTTCCAAGTGAATGGGATAAACTTAGGCCCTTGAATAAGACCTTGTGGGTGCGAGGCAAGTGTTCTACCACTGAGCTTATACTTATTCCTACACTTCTCTGTAGCTCCCGTGTTCAGCATCTAGCATATGCCAGGAGCATTTCAGATGACTGAAACATTGAAGGAGTAGAAATTATTACGTGGTTACTGTATTCTTGTTGGGATGTAAAAAATTGATAATATTTCTTTTGGAACTTGATGGAACTGTTAACAGGTCCTTAGAAACTGCTTTTGCTAAAAGGCACAGACTCCTTATACCTGGACCTACAATATAACTTAAAGCAAGATAAAAACCTGACATCCAGCCTCCATTTTGCATCTGTCTCCTTTGCTCTGAGTCTCTCGTGAGGTCACCTTGGTTTCCAGGAATGATAGTACTGATCTTTATGACAAGGGTCCAAAACCACCCCTAATGAATAGCAAAGCCTCACAAGATAGATCACCCCCTAAATATGGACCTTTGATGATGAAGCTGTACCCTGGAGCAGGTATAATCATCTCATAGGAACGAGATATCCCCCCCACCCCCAAATGATGACAGCAGTAACAACAACTTTTCTGGGACTTTTCATTTGAAACTTTATATTTACATACTATCTTCCAATTGCATTTGTTCTATTAAAAATCCAAAGTTTAGATTCCATATTGTTTGGAGGCTGTTTTGACCCATTTGTATTTATTTGAACTAATTTAAAGTTCTGCCATTTGTTTGACTAGGAAAATTAAAATCTGTAATTTTGCATTAAAAATTAACTGGGAAAAAATATAAGGTACACAAAGTAACCAAAATGTTAAAAGGAGATCTCTTGTTATTTAGATAAGAATGAAGTGCTAAATATGTTTGTGTCCCACAGGGAGAATTCTAGCTGACTAGTTATTCATAAAATCATAAACCTGTGACCTGGAAAGAAAAATAAAGACTAAAGGATGGTTTATCTAAGAGTGTTCTCTAAATTAATGTAATTGTTTTTATGTGTCATTTTGTATATATCTATAGTCTGTCTATGATAATTGACTTATTGGAGAGTTAAATAGTTGGATGACTATGGGAGCAATAAATTGGAGATTGACCCAAAACACTTCACTCACTGTTTTGCTTCAGCCATCAAAATAAATTTCTATCAAAAGGAGTCCTAACATGGCATTGGTGAAAACTTAACCTGCCCCTAGCATTCCCCCCAAAACAACAAATTAACTTTTCTGCAGTGCATTTATTTTGCATTTTGTAGCTATTTTATGTTAGCTTAAGTTGACATTTTTGATGTGCTTAATTTAAAGCGTGTGTGTGTGTGTGTATGTGTGTGTACGTGTGTGTGTGTGTGTGTGTGTGTGTGTGTGTGTGTGTATACGTGTGAGGGTGAGCATGAGCATCTTTAGGATGATTGTTGGACTGCAATTGTAGAGTTAATGTAGAGGGCCTATTTCCCCTCTAAGTGTTTTCTATTTTTTTTCTCCCTTCTGCTGCTGCTGCTTCTAAAATACCATCTATTTAAGATTGTTATCTTAGTCCTAGTTAAAATGGAGACATACAAGAGTTACTTCAGGACTGAAGGAAAAAAAAAGGGTCATTTTAAAACCAAGGAAAACTGCTTGATTAGAGACATGCAGAAAAGGATCTTAAAGATTGTCTATGTGAACAGATTATCGTAATGTTTCATTCTGTCATAAATATAATTTGGATTCAACCCTCTTTTACAATACATTTAAGTCTATTTACAAATGTTTTTCATAAATTGTTAGTATATAGAGAACCAGTTTCAGATAGCTTTCTTCCTGGGTCTTGATTAAAATATAATTAAGTTAAGATTCTAATTAACATGTGTATAGTTCTATATGCAGAAAAGACATGAAGAATTTAAGCTATGTTTTAAATAAAAACTATAAGAGAAGCATAAGTGTTTTATTTAAAAATATTTTATTAAAAAAAATTTGGGTGCAGTGGCTCATGTCTATGATTACAGCTGCTCAAGAGGCAGAGATTTGAAGGTTGTTGTTTGAGGTTGGCCCAGACAAAGAGTTGGCAAGACCCTATCTCAGCAAAAAAAGCTCAGTGTATTGGCACATATCTGTCATCCCAGCTTTGCAGAAGCCTAAGTACAAGGATTGCTGTGCGGGCTGGCCTGGGAAAAAAATGCAAGAATCTACCTGAAAAATAACTAAAGCAAAAAGGACTGAGGGTGCCTGAGTTTAAACCCCCAGTATTGCAAAGAAAAAAAAAAAAAAGACAAAACAATTTTTGCCTAAACAAATTGTGCAAAAGCTTCAAAATGCAAATAAAACTGTTACAAAGTATATAACTCTCAAAAAGTATATAACAGATGGAGTTTATAAAAAGTTGACATGTTACTAAGTTTCTAAATAGTTTTCTAAGGTCAAACTTCATTAAACTAATGTAAGACTAAAACCCAGTTCTCTGTCCAAGCAAGGAGGCCAAAAGTAGAATAGAAAATACTGTTCTACTTTTACTAACATTTACCAAGAAACTGGCTTAAAGAAAAAGAATTTTGTGTTGTATCAAGATAATTGCTTGTGTATCTGTGCCAGAGACTTTTAAATAACCACTTTATGAACAGCTGTTATTTTAGATGATTCTAGTACATTAACACCCTATGTGTCTGTGACTAAAAAAGTAGAGCTGTATGTCAAAAATTTAAGTGCTATACAAGAGTTTACAAAATTAAAGGTGTAAAATATTAACACATGGAAACAAACAAGTGCTCTCTTTATGCATTATGCATTGTGTTTGGACTTTGAACATAAAACTTGGCACTCTGCTGTTATAATCAGTACCATTCATATGAGAACAATAAACCTGCCATCGGGCAGTCCTACTATGTAAAATGTGGCTTACATCTATCTGTCTTGCCTGAACGAGCATTTTTGTATATATGATATGCACTTAAGTGCATATAATGAAAATTAATTCATGTAACTAGCATTGTCCCTTCAGCTTATAAGAGGTCTCTAATGCTTATGATTTTTGTCAGTGCTGTAAATTTATTGTTCTACTTCAACAAAAGGAAAAGCTAAGATAAGATACTTCCATGTAGTTACGTTGCTGACTTTTTTAATATGAGAAATGTATGTATGTTTCCCAAATATATAAGCCTTCAACAGTACAGAGCTGAGGAGAATAATTTACCAAGCTGGCATCCTTCAAACTAAAATTATCAGTAGTGCTAGCCCTTTTCAGACTTTTGCTCCTGTGCTTCATTGTATCATGACTCATCTTTAAACAAAGATAACTGGACATGTCCAAATACTGTATACTCCAAAAAATGACAATAATCATTAAGAGAATTTAGTGATGGTCATCTAGAAAATACAACTGTAAACAAATATATTCTACTTTATTTAAGAGGCAAAATTAAATGAAGATTTATATGTAAAAGTAATAGTTTTTTGGGGGTGAGGGTTACTGGATTTGAATTAAGAGCTTTGCACTTGATGGGGGCTCTACTGCTTGAGCCTCATCTCCAGTCCAGTTACTGACAAGAGACATAAAGATTATATCATTTTTTATGCTAAAATAAAAATTTAAATGTATTTTTAAAAGGACATGAGCTTGATGGTCCTGACATAATGCTGTCTGTCCTAATTATTATCCTAAAATGCTATATTAAGTGTAAATAACTAGACTTTCATCTGCTAAATTCAGACCATGGCTGTTCAAAGTCTTTTGTTTTCCAGAGCTTTTTCTTTTTTTTCTCTTTTCAGTACTGGGATTTGAATTCAAGGCCTTGTGTTTACTAGACAGGCTCTCTGTCACTTGAGCCACTCTGCCAAGTTTTGTTCCTTTTCTAAGGCATCAGCCAAATTCATGGAAAATGACTCTTAACAAGTACTTGTTTACTTTTTCTTTAAATGTTTGCTCTTGTTGGTTTTATTTTGTATTTTCTTTGTAAAACCTTGTAAATGTTGTCTGTTTACATTTTACACATGTACAACTCTGACAAAGCAACCTGAGCAGTATTTTGAGATGCTAAGGTATAACTTACAGGACAAACAAAATTAAATTTAAAAATGAGCTCCAGGTAAACTCATCTCAAAAGCCATTCCTTGTTGCTTAAGTTTTCCGAAAAGGGTCTTTTTAGCATTAACTTTTAGCTGCCTGACACTATTCATCCTCCCACCCCCCAATATGGGATCAAATCATACCAATTGGGACAGCAACAGGGGATAATTGAAAAATAAACCACAGTATGGTTAAGCAGAAATGTTTTCAGAGAAAATTGTTCAGAGAGGACGGGGAAAGTGTTAGAACTGAAATGGGATTAAGCTGAGTGCTGTGGGATGCACCTGTAGTTTCAGCTACTCAGCAGGCTGAGGCAGCAGCATCAAGAGTTTTAGGTCAGCTAGAGCCATATAATGAGGCCGTGTCTCAAGAGACCAATAATGAAATATGGGGTCACTTGTGTCAGATCTTCCAGACACAAAGCTGAAAGGGTTCTTACTCACGGTTGTCTGACACTAAAGCTCTTCTACCAGGCACCTCTGCGAAATCTTTGGCAAAGGTCTTCTATTGAAGTTGTACAACAACAACAACAACAAAAGGCCGTTTCTACCAAATCCAAACACATTTTTTTAGTGACTCATTCTCATGGAATTATTGGGGAAAAAAAGGAATCTACACAATTATTTAATTGGATGTCATCTAACTTTTGACTTTCCCTTGTCTTCTGCTTTATAATGGTATTTCTACTTGTAAACTTTTCCTTTGACTTACATACTTCAGCTATTACAACTTGTCCCCTTCTTGTGTACTAGTTTAACATTCATAAGGACAGCTACAGAGCCAAATTGGCTAGTGTCCTAAATCCCTGAAGACTGAGAAATGTTCAGCATAGGTACTTAGAAACTGCTTTTGCTAAGGGTCACTGTCTCTTTACTTGTGCCCACAAGTAAACTGAAAGCAAGATAAAAACCTGATATCCCTGCCTCCATTTTACATCTGTCTCCTTTGCTTTGTGTCTTTCCTAAAGTCACCCTGGATTTTGGGAATGGCAGGACTGATTGACAGTGTCTTTATGACAAGGGATCAAAACTACCCCCATGGGATAGCAGAGCTTCACACGATAGATCACCCCTCAAATGTGGATAATTACCTCTGATGAGGAGGCTGCACCGTGGAGCAGGTGTAAACATGTCATAGGACCAGATGTCCCTCCCATTGATGACAATGATAATAACTTCTCTGGAATCTTTTGTACAACAGAGCTGAGATAATGATCAATCAGGCCACACTTTGCCTGGGGCTGCTAATTATGCTACATCTCACCCCCTGCCCTGTTTGTGTAGTACAGGTCCCTAATGTTAGAACAGTTGGTGTGCCTCTTTTCATGAGCATGCACCCATGTGTGGGTGTGTGCTGTCCTTTCCTGTACACTGGTGCCTTGCCTATGAGGCATGTCTGTTATTTCTGCCTTACTTACCGTGTAAATCTCTGCTGTCTCTTGCTTTGTGTCTCTGCCTGAAAATTCCTATTTGGCTTTTGGAGACAAGGATCTAAAGGGCCAAGTAGAGAATCCCTTTCTTTTGGGGATCTTCCTGAGACCTTCATCTACCACTAGCCATAGAACTCTCTTAAAAGAAATCTTTTAAAGTAGTATATTAGGTAGATTGATAGTCTAAATAGTTTGCTGTTTTCTCTATTTGTTGTTTTGATTTTGATGCTGGGAGGTGAACCTAGAGTGCCTTGCATGTTCACACACTGTACCACTGAGCAATACCCCAAACCCCCAGTTTGCTATACATTTTAATTTTGTATTTTAAAAAATGTGACATTTTTCTTTCTTCACACTTCTCACCTTTTTCTTTGTTATTTTTTGGCAGCCAGTCCGAAGACAGTCCCTTACCCCTCCTCCTCAGAACACTATTACATGGGAAGAATATATATCTGCTGAAAATGGAAAGTATGTGTTTTTGGTTTATGTTTTCTTTGGATTTTTCTAAAAAGTAGAATATGTGAGTACTTTGGTATAAGACTTTAACTTGAACCACTCCACCAGCTCTTTTTTATGATAGGTTTTTTGGAGATAGGGTCTTGAAAACTGTTTGCCCAGGCTGGCTTTGAACCTCGGTCCTCCTGATCTCTGCCTCCTGAGTAGCTAGGATTACAGGTGTGAGCCACTGGTGCCTGGCCTCTTCATCATTGTTTATAAGGCTATTTATTCACTGATTCCTGTTTGCCTTTCTAAGTTCATCTTCTTATCGTTATTTATTTGTTTCACCCTTCCTTCCATAAAACCTGTGCTACTGTTGTATTACTACTACTTAATTAGAGTACATAGAACATAACTTGTGTTTAGTATTACTAACACTTTATAGAATACTTGGAATATTGCTTGTATTCAGTACATGTTTGTTGACTAAAAAAAGATCAATGAATAAAGAAAGAATGTCTTTTCAATGAATGAATAAAATAGTTTTTTCTGGGCAGCCAGTATTTTCTTTTGGTTGAAAATGAAATATCACCTACCACTAGGCTTAGGAAAAAATTGTCATCATTTCTTTTTTTTTCCAGCTTTATCAGACATTTCTTAACAGGCTTATTACATTTTTATAACTTCTCCATAATTTCTCTCTGTCTTAATGTTCTGTAGTATTAAACATGTTCTATGAGAGGCCATTCTGTTGAACTTGCCTCGTACACTAGGCACCCAGCAGATCAGACCAAACAGGAATGAAGTACCATGTGGCATGTGTCACATAATCAGACTTAACTTTGTATCAGATCAGTTTTCCAAAAAATCTCAGGAGATTCCAGTCAGGGTGAGTCAGTGCAATAAGGAAGTCCCGTCTGTTTTAATCTTGAAAAGAATTAAAGCAACCAGAATTTTGAAGCAATGGTCCACTTTTTAGTCTGTTTTCTGCTTTCTTTAACTCTTTCTGTGTCTGTAGAGCTAACCACGTATGCTCAGTTCATCAGAACACATTCTGTTTTACAGAATGAGTGTTGCCCTTTCATAAAATCACAAACAAGTGAATTAAATTTTTAAATTTTTGTTGTAATTTTCTTTGGACAATGATTGCCATAGAATTCTTTGTTTTTCATAATACTTGCTGATGAATGCTACTATAATAGTAGATTGAATTGAATAAGTGATGTTAAGATGTGATACTTTCAAAGTTTGTTTTTTCTAGTGATTTTCTTTGTTCCTAGTAATAGTGATTATTGAAATTCAATTATGCTCAGTGGGAATTATCTGATCTGATGGTTTTGTTTTTTCTGAACTCTGACTCTGCTGTTTTATTTTTGTTACACTGGTCTCATTTCTTATGTACTGCTTATTATTTTTAGTGTAATTTTAATTTATTTCTATAGACAGAGTAAGAAAAATTGAACTATTAAAATGTCAATGGAAGATGACAAATTCTTCTCTGAAAGATGGTAGCCTATTGAACAAGTTTCCTAACATTTTTTTCTTTTCTCTCCCTCTTTCTCTCTCTCTTTTACTGTTTTAGAGCTCCTCATCTGGGCAGAGAACTGGTGTGCAAAGAAAGTAAGAAAACTTTTAAAGCCACCATAGCCATGAGCCAGGAATTTCCCTTAGGGATTGAATTGTAAGTTTGTTTTGAACTGTACATATTGATAAAAAATCTATTAAGCTGTGAAGGTTCTAGTAATATTTGCAACTGGGTGGTGTATTTCAGGTTTCTAATCATAAAAGCATGTAGTTGTCTTTTCACTTCATTTGATTTTGGCAGCACTGGGGTTAGAACTTAGGACCTCATGCTTGCTATACAGGCACTCGGCCACTTGAGCTATTCTGCTCATCCTGTTTTGTGTTACGTATTTTTGAGATAGGGTCTTGCCAACTGTTTGCCTGGGCTGGCTCCCATCTGTAATTCTCCTGATCTCTGCCTCTTGACTAGTTAGGATTACGGGCGTGAGCCACTGGCGCCTGGTTCAAGTAGCTGTTGTCTTGAATAGTGTGTGTACTTTTTCAGAAATTTTCTTTTTCACAAAAGTATTTTTATTGATTTCTCTACATAAATTTTTGAATTGTTTTTAAAAAGTTATTAAAGTAATACATGACTACATGCTTGAAAATAGTCTTAAGACTATCACATAACTTTTAGTTAGTTATGTGATAACTTTTACCACATTAATAGTTAATGACTGGTATATTTTTATCTAAACTTACCTGTGTTTTTACATTTTTAATAAAAGTGGCAAATGGTCTGTATTTCATTCTGTCAGTTCCTTTTTTTCTTTTAAAAGTGAGTGTATCTTTGAGTTCTAACAGTAACTACTTTTTTGTCTGTTATTTTTTCCTTTTTTCTTGATATTTTTATAGTATTGATATATTGTCATTTATTTTATCATGTCCCTACTGATAAACATTTTAATTATTTTTAGTTTGTTCCTATTATAAACAATATTGCAGTGAACTACTTGACTATATCCTTTCAGACTTGTACTGACCAGATGCTCCTTTAGAAAAAATAAAATCTCATTTGGAGAGATGAATGGAATGGGAGGGAGGTGGGTAGTTAGAGCTCACTCTTGATACAATTGTAGCTTTAGTGTCATTAAAATGGGATGGCTGGAATGAGTTGAAGCCCCAGGCTATTTTGTCTTCCTAGTTCCTTCCCTTTCTAATCTTGCCCAGTACATTAAAAAACTAAAAACTTGGCCTGATGCATTAAATTTTTTTTTTTCCAAGAAAAAAGGCAGGGCCCATATTTTACAACAAAGTCCATGTATATAGCCTGCTCCTGGACTTTGCCTCATACCTAAGCTTTAGAAAAGTAGATAGAACATTCTCTATAGCCCAAAACTTATAGATCAGAGAGAGAAAAGTCATAGAAAATGCTAGAAGAGTGCTAACTACATATGCAAACCTGTCATAACCCATCATATCTAGGACCCAGTTGACTCCATGATGTACCACTTTTATATTCTACTACTTACTAATAGAGAAGCAATGCAGCTAATTTTATGATGACATCAGTTTTAGGAGGTAGTCTAAATTCAGATTTGTGATTATGTGAAAAAAGTGATATCTTTAGTATTTATAGGATGTGGCAATTGCAACCACTGTCCTTGAAGAAAAGTAAAATAAGAAACACTGAATACAAAAACCAAATAAAGATTTAATTCTAGAATAAAACGTTAAAGAACTGAAGAAAATTTTCTATAAAAATTTTCTATGGAAAAGCACACAATAGAACACGAAGTCTATAAACCTAGATCACTCTAAGATGAGCTGAAAGATAATAGAATGAAATGAAGATTGAACAGCTAAAGAAATAAACTGAGAATTAATAGCACTATTAACAAACATATGGTGGGGGCGGTGATGACTCAAGCCTGTAATCCTAGCTCCTCAGAAGGCAGAGATCAGGATGATCTCAGTTCAAGGCACAAAGGGCTGGTGGAGTGGCTCAAGTGGTAGAGTGCCTGCCTAGCAAGCATGATGCCCAGAGTTCAATTCCCAGTATGGCCAAAACAAAAATATGGGTTGAGGGTATGGTTTGTGGTGGAGCTCCTGCTTTGAAAGCATGAGACTCTGAGTTCAAACTCCAGCACTGCCAAAATAAATAAAAAATGAAACAAAAAGACATTAGAGAAGAATAATGAAGAGACTAGATGTGACTGAAAATTAAATTTTGATAGCTTACAATTTATGAATTGAACAGATGAAAGGAATTAGATAAATAATAGATATGGAGGACAGAGACAGTTCAACATAGGAAACCATTGTTGTTCTACTTAAATAGATAACTTCCCAAATGTAACTGAAGTTGTTCTTAAAATATGGCAGAAGTAAACTTCTGTGAATGGAAAACCTACTTTGTATTATAGCATAAGGTTTCAAGAAAAATGGGTACATAATAATCAGTAAAAATTATGATTAAAGTTTGTTAATAAGAAATTGAAGGCGTCCAGGCAGAAAAGAGGTAAAGTCAGCTTAGCCTTACATTTTCTCATATTTTTGACATGTGACAAAAGAAAAATCGGCTGGGAGTATGGTTCAAGTGGTAGCATACCTGTTAGCAAGCTCAAGGCCTTGAGTTCAAACCCTAGTATCACCAAAAAAATAAAAAAAAAGTATGGTTTGGTAGTATATCTAGCTAAGATGTCACTTATATATCAGGGCATAAGGATATTCTCAGATACAAAAGAATTCAAGAAATACAGCATCTATAAGTACTTGTTGAAAGAAAGATAGTACTACTTGAAGATTAAATCAGTCCAACCGAAACAGAAAGAAGTTGTAGCATAAAAAAATAGTATAACCTGAAATTAATGTGATTCATATTTCCCTTTAAATATAATAGCAAGAAATACTGGTTATTAAATGAATGCAAGAAATCGAGGAATATTAAGCACATAAGAGACTTTGAATACATCTTAATAAATTGATATTGAAATTCAGCCATGGAAACTGTCTACTTCAAGAATTTAGGTATTTGTGGATTTTAGTAAGTAAACAAGTATAAGCTTTGACTGCATTTAAACAAGGGTCTGATATCAAACTGGAAATTATGGCTGCAAAATCAAGTAAAAGTTACAAGCAGACATTAAGTAAAAGTTACGAATAGACAATACAGCGGAAGGAATAACAACAACAAAAAAGAGGAAGAAGATTTCATCTGTAAATGTAGAAGTTAGTACTACTATTTTGAATCATATAGTTTAAAAACAACATAATGATGCACAGAAATCAGTTTGAACAATGAAAACATGGTTTTCTTCTTCCATTTTTCAGATTATTGAATGTCCTAGAAGTAATAGCTCCCTTCAAGCACTTTAACAAGCTTAGAGAATTTGTTCAAATGAAGCTTCCTCCAGGCTTTCCTGTTAAACTAGGTAAGAGACAAATTTAGATGTAATGTTAGTATCTTAGAAATATGGAGTTTTTAAAATATAATAAAGCATAAAAGGAAAATAGATTTCCTTGTTTTTATAAAGTTTTTCTTAGATGCATTGATACTTATATTTTTATTTCTGTATATAAATACACATATATAAAGTACCTGGTGAGAGTTCTAATTCTGCTTGAATTAAATGAACTACAAGGGATATGAAAATATTTTATACAAGATTTAATGAGTGCCAGGCATGGTGTTATACATCTGTAATCCCAGCTACTTGAGCAGTAGAAACAGGAGGACCTGGAGTTTGAGGCCAGCCCAGACAAAGTTAGTGAGACCTTCTCTCAGAAATAAAATAAAAACAAAAAGACTGGGGGTATTGCTCAAGTGGTAGAGCACTTCCCTAACAAATGTGAGTTCTTGAGTTCAGTCCCCAGTACTGAAAAAAAAAAAAATTGAAAAAGAAGGAATGGATGAACTAATGCTGCAGAGTAATGTTTTTAATGTGAGGTGGGGAGGCTGGGGTTTAGCCCAAGTTTTCAGCATACTGTTGAGGTTCTGTATAGATTATGGAGATAGTAGTCACTGTTTATGGATAATTATATTGATACATTTTATTTTTCAGACTTAATATTTAAACTTAATTTCATCATATGCAATTGTGCATTTTTTTGTGGTTTTGGGGATTGAACCCATTATTTTGTGTATTCTAGGCAAGTGCTCTGCCATTCTAGATGTGCTCTAGAGCTACATCTGTAGTCCAACAGTGATATTTTGAAACAGTAAACTTTCATTTTTACACATACTCATCTTTGTAACTTATGTCAGAAAACTAGGAATAAGAAATGATTAAAAGGCATTTTAGAGGAGTTTAGACTTAGATTTAGTATTAATTTAAGCTTTAGGAGAGTCTTTAATGCCATCCATTGATCCACATACCCAATATTTAATCAGTGCTTGCTAGTGTTAGAAACTCTTCCAGGAATAGGAGATAGCAAAAGTCCCTGTCCTCTTTGGTATATAGGTTCTAGTGGGCAAGAAAAATAGACAGTGAATATAATGTTTATATAATTCCTCAGGTATGTTTTTATCTTGCTTCATTCCATTTTATTTAAAAAAAAAAAAACAACACATCTCAGAGAATTACCTCCCAGAAGTAATGTTTTTATTTCTAAAAATTAAACTTGATCATCTCACCTATCTAGACTTGGACATAAGCAGTTTTTTGATTAAAATAATTTAAAAATGCTGTTCAAAATGTCATAGTAGTTATCTTTTGCAATGAAAAAATGCTGGGAACACAGTGTTGATTTGAAGAAACCATTGATAAGATCTTAGGCAGAAGTGGATGAAACTGTTGTAGTCAAGAGCTGTGTGTTCTAGTCATTCATAAGAAATGGTTGTCTAAGATGTTTGTTTATTAGGTTGAAGGTGTGGCTCAAGTGTGAGTCTCTCAGTTCAAACCCCAGTACTTCCAAAAAAACAAACAAGTTAAAAAACAAAAAGGTTGAGTATTCTGCAGAAGTTTAAAACTGCACTGCCATTTTCATGACCAAAAAATATTTTAGGAGGCATTAAGAAGAGGCACAGTGAAAAATTAGAGGGCAGGGGTGAAACAGATGAGAATTTCAAGCTATTGCTGCATTCACATCTTATTTGAAATTACAAACGTAAATCAGAGCCCTATTCTATTGCATAGATTCTTCTGCGGTAGAAGTGTTTTGGAAGGAAAAAGGCTGCAGTACATTTTTTGTAAACATTTCTCTGATGTAGAGCCACCTTCTTAACAAGGGATAATCTTTTGTTTTATATTTTAGTAGGGACTTTGCGTAATTTATTTCTCTTGTTTCTTCATTCTGCTTTTGAACTGGTCTTGTAAAACTTCATTCCTGGCTTGGTTTAATTCTCTACTATTTCTGTTTCTATATTCAGGATAAAAAAACACAGTTTTGAGAAAAATTTGGAAATTGAAAGCACATTTTATGTTTTCAAGATCAGCCAGAGCTTTATGTACTGACTGTGAATGATCTTTACTCAGATTTGCTTCTTCTCTTATGCTGATCAAGGGCTTTTTTTTTTTTTTTCTCTTTTACATAGGGTCGTGCTGTGTAGCCCAGGCTGGCTTTATTTTTTTATTTTTATTTTTTTTCTTTTATTCATATGTGCATACAATGTTTGGGTCATTTCTCCCCCATGCCCCCCACCCCCCTCCTTTAATCCCCCCACCCTCTACATTTCCCCCCCTACCAGGCAGAAACTATTTTGCCCTTATGTCTAATTTTGTTTAAGAGAGAGTATAAGCAACAATAGGAAGGACCAAGGGTTTTTGCTAGTTGAGATAAGGATAGCTATACAGGGAGTTGACTTGCATTGCTTTCCTGGACATGTGTGTTATCTTCTAAGTTAATTCTTCTCAAAGTAACCTTTTCTCTAGTTCCTGGTTCCCTTCTCCTATTGGCCTCAGTTGCTTTAAAGTATCTGCATTAGTTTCTCTGCATTGAGGACAACAACTGCTATCTAGTTTTTTGGGTGTCTTACCTATCCTCGTACCTCCCTTATGTGCTTTCACTTTATCATGTGATCAAAGTCCAATCCCCTTGTTGTGTTTGCCCTTGATCTAATGTCTGCATATGAGGGAGAACATACAATTTTTGGTCTTTTGGGCCAGGCCAACCTCACTCAGAATGATGTTCTCCAGTTCCATCCATTTACTTGCGAATGATAAGATTTCATTCTTCATGGCTGCATAAAGTTCCATTGTGTATAAATACCACACTTTCTTAATCCATTTGTCAGTAGTGGAGCAGCTTGGCTGTTTCCATAACTTGGCTATTGTGAATAGTGCTACAATAAACATGGGTGTGCAAGTGCCTTTGGAGTAACCTGTGTCACAGTCTTTTGGGTATATCCCCAACAGTGGTATTGATGGATCATATGGCAGGTCTATGTTAGATTTTTAAGAAGCCTCCAAATTTTTTTCCAGAGTGGTTGTACTAGTTTGCATTCCCACCAGCAGTGTAAGAGGGTTCTTTTTTCCCACATCCTTGCCAACACCTGTTTTAGTGATGTTGCTAATGATGGCTATTCTAAGAGGGGTGAAGTGGAATCTAGTGTGGTTTTAATTTGCATTTCCTTTATTTCTAGAGATGATGAGCAATTTTTCTTATGTTTTTTGGCCATTTGAATTTCTTCTTTTGAGAAAGTTCTGTTTAGTTCACTTGCCCATTTCTTTATTGGTTCATTAATTTTGGGAGAATTTAGTTTTTTGAGTTCCCTATATATTCTGGCTATCTGTCTTTTGTCTGATGTGTAGCTGACAGATATTTTCTCCTACTCTGTGGGTGGTTTCTTCAGTTTAGAGACCATTTGTTTTGTTGAGCAGAAGGTTTTTAGTTTTATGAAGTCCCATTTATCTATGCTATCTCATAGTTGGCTGAGCTGCTGGGGTTCCATTGAGAAAGTCCTTTCCTATACCTATTAGTTCCAAAGTATTTCCTACTCTTTCCTGTACCAACTTTAGCGTTTGGGGTCTGATATTAAGATCCTTGATTCATTTTGAGTTAATATTGGTGTAGGGTGATAAACATGGATCTAGTTTCAGTTTTTTGCAGACTGCTAACCAGTTTTCCCAGCAGTTTTTGTTGAAGAGGCTGTCATTTCTCCATCGTGTAATTTTAGTGCCTTTGTCAAAGATAAGTTGGTTATAGTTGTGTGGCTTCATATCCGGGTCCTCTATTCTGTTCCACTGGTCTTCATGTCTGTTTTTGTGCTAGTACCATGCTGTTTTTATTGCTGTTGCTTTGTAATATAGTTTGAAGTCAGGTATTTTGATACCTCCCCAGGCTGGCTTTAAACTTGTGAACCTCCAGCCTTAGCCTCTTCAGTACTGAGATTAGAGGTGTGTGTCACCTCAGCTGACTGTAACAGCTAAATTTGAACTTTTTTCATCACATCTCCATCCCACATTAATTCCTCCTGTGATCTAAGCTTCTTGCAGAATGAGACTTTTTGTAACATAAATGAGATCTCTCTCACTACTCCCAACTTCCCATTCAGACTTTGTCCTCCAAGCCCCATCTTTTCCCTGTCCTTCTTGTCACAGTGGAAATGATGCCCCTCTTCTTAGCCTGAATAATCTCTTCCTTTTGTGCTATGTATCTGTTCTCCTTGCTCTTTTAAAATGCTTGCTGTGTCAGTCAGCCCATATACCTCCCACTTCCCTTATCTGCCACCTTTTTACTATTAGTTGCTAGGGTTGCTTAGGTCTTTTGACATTTAATATTTAACTAACCAACTTAAAAAACATTCTGTCACTCCACTTTACCCAGCTCTTATTCTTTGCTTTTCATAGCCAAGCTATTTGAAATTCTACTTTCATCTCTCCATTCTTTTTTAAAATAGAAAAGGCAAGACTAAGGCAAGGCTTTTCTATTTTTTTCAAAGTGGTAAAATGTACACATATAAAATGTACACTTAGAGCAACTGCTGAAGTTGCTATACAAAGAGATATATTTAAAAGGAATATAGATATATGAAAATGAAATTTGAACAAATAGTCAGGTAACCTAAGGAATGCAGAACAAAGGAAACAAATTAAAAACAGAACAGAAAACAAAAAATAAAACAGCAGACTTAAGGCTTAACATATTAAATATAAAGGGTTTAAATAGGGCATGTAAAAGACAGTGATTGGTATAGCTTAAAGGACAGTGATTGGAGTACTTGTCTAGCATGCAGGAAGCCCTGAGTTTGATCCTCACTACCACTATGAACAAAAATAAAAAGCCTATATCCATGCATAGTGGCATGTTCCTGTAATTTCAGCTCTTGGGAGGCTAAGATAAGCGGTTCACTTGAACCCAGGAGTTCAAGGTCAGCCTGGGCAACAGAGTGAGACCCCCATCTCTGAGAAACAGCAATAACAACAACAAATCCATGACCCAACTATATACTGTCTCCAAGAAATTCACTTCAAATATAATGATATAGTCAGGT